AACTCGCCTTCATTCGTGCGCGTTTTGAAGCATGAAATGCACACCGAAATGCAAAAATGCAAAAACTCCAACAAACCGGCACACAGAAAATATGACAGAAACTATAGAGAAACAGTGTGTGTTTTTATGATGCGCATTTCAATGCCACACATATTAGAGAAATCGGCATAGAACCCAGAATTAGCTCAGTGAGTAAAATATGATGATAAAAATTGCTTTGTTCGAAAAAAAGGTCGATTTTGCAGAAGGTTTTATTTCTGATCTTGAAAATTTACATACATGAAGTGCATGACGAGATCAGCAGAGAATTGATTGTAAGTGACAATTTTCGTATATATATATTTAAATGTGTCTTTAATTTCATGCTGAAAAAGTAAATATGCAACGCAAAACTGAACAGATATGAAAATTCTCGAAATACGAACGATCTGAACTGAGAGAGAGAAAGATACTTTTGTTGACGAAATGGTCTTGGATCGAATATACTCTTCCCATTGTTTCGCTCGATAAATCAAAACCGAATGTTTGTATTTGAATGGAAGAACATGGCAGTTTGTCACTGTGAGCCGTGGAAAATTGGATGGCACCATGGAAAATTCACATGATGATGTTTATCTTTTGCTTTGATTACATATTAGTCGAAATGTAGTTTTTCCCCCCATCGAAAAACCGTTGGCCCTCATTTACAAAAAAAAAGACATGAACATAAACTGCGATATTAACTGTTTTTACAGTGGAAGAATATAAAAATACGCGCACAATAAACTGAGCATATAAAAATGCGAGTAAACGAGCGAAAAAAAATATATATCGTTTTTTTTTGTATATATACACAAAAATTATTTGAAATGAGGAACAACGACAGTAGAAGAAGGAGAGAAAAGTAGTCTTGAGAGAGGAGAAAAAAGAGAGCCGAACATGAAAATAGTATTGTAGTTGTTCGACGAAGGCGCACATATCAGGAAACATGACAGTAGTTGAAGACGATGGTTTGAAGAAACAAAGATTCAAGGCGATGTCAGAACAAGACGAAAAAGCCATGAGAATGAGACAGAACTAAAGCAAAAAAAAAAACACCAAACACATTAATAAAAAGTTGAATAGAACATCTGCTGGTGTTCAGTGAATCAACATATCGTCATTTTTTTTAAAACTGTTTATTTACATACGATAAAAAAGACGTTGTGTGTTGGTTATGTTTTGTTTTACTCTCGCTCTCATCTCACGATTTTTCACTTGTGTATATTGTGCTTTTCGTTTTATTTCAATGCGAACGCAGATCGTAACGCACATTCTTCGTGTATGTAAGCGCTTTGTTTTCGCTACGTTTGCTACATGAAGCCGAACAAAACGACAAATTAAATGATACATTTTCGGATTCCCACAGAAAACCGACCGCACGACAATATCACAACAACAACAACAAATATTTCATATGGAATCTTATTAAAAATTTTCTTTACTTCGCATCATTTCTTGGCGTTAAGGTGGCCCAAATTTACACTTTATCAATTTCATGTTACATTTTGCGGCAGCCGAACAAAACGCGAATTTTGATGAGAAGAAGAATCACATTTTTGACGTCTTAAAAATCCAAAAAGTTTGAAATTCCGTGCATTAAGCGATATTTTCGGATGCTTTTTTACGATCAAACCTTCAAAACAAAATCATTCTTTGCTATAATTTAACCCTTCTGCTTTTTGTTCCTTTCAGATCCGGTGTTGCAAACGATTTCATATAGAGTTTTTTTTTATGATACAAAGTGATCAATTTCGGTAAGAAAATCTCAAAATTGATCAATGCAAACTCGAATTCTTATGGTGTTGAAAAACGAAAAACGTAACCTGTCTTGCGGTCACTCTGATGTTTTTGTGTGTGTGCGTTTCATGTTCTTTCACTCTGTGCGAACTTGGAGATAAAATATTCGTCCGCAACCGATGAGCAATGATACATTTCTCCGAAACGAAAACTCACCGACAAAAACAAAACCGAAACCAGAGAAAAAAAAATGAGATCTAGTCAAAAATGCTACACATTTTTCGATCGATGATGAATAGTAATCAAATGTATTTTTGTTTCCTAATGAATTCTAAAAGCGTTACCAAAAATGCTTTTTTTGTCACATTTTTGCGTTAAATATCAATGAGCCAAAAAATAATTTCCAAGAAATGTTTGAGTAATTGAAAATATCGAGATATTGAGAATTTGTGTTGACTAATTGCTATCGCTTAATCAATCAGTCGTTCATTTTGATAATACAAAAAGACATCTATACAAAAATCACACTGCGCACTCACTCATTACAAAATTAACTTTATAAAAACATTTTACGTCAATGGATAATATTGAAAACATTGGAATTGTACTGTATTTAAAGGGTGGAATCGTATTGAATTAATGGAAAGATCAATATCATGCATGTTATTGCAACGGCGGATACTTCAACACCTTTAAATAAACTGGATCTTTTATTAATATGACGAACTTTTTCGTGCCTCTTAAGACACATTTTGTCAAAAACTCGACCCAAAATCCATTGAAGGAAACATACTAAAAAATCAAATTAAGTGTACGACACTATTTCGAATTCTTACAACAAAAACCAAAATGCACGTTCTTTGTGCATATTATTTTTGGTTTGCAACAATACTTTTACCTCACGTTATTTATGTTCGGAAAAGTGTTATTCAATTTTTTGTTTTACATACATACGCCCAGATGGCATTTCCCAGTTTGTGTGTGTGAGATTATCTTATCAAAATTGTGTTTGTGTATTTGGATTTGTTACTCGCTGCTTGTGTGTTATCACTGATAACAGTGAATAGATTGTGGCTACACCTAAAGCCTATATTTCGTTCGGAATAATATCATAAAGACGCTGTCCGTATACATTGTCCAATGTTCACAAGTCGTATCTATGAATAAGAGCTGCAAAAATAGTACTGCTATAGCTATATTCACAATCTATCCACTGGTTATAGCATTTTATCTTGATCATTGAAAATTGATAAAAAAACACGAAAATTAAATTACAGGTATTGTACGAATCGTAATTATGACAGACGCGACGAGCAAAAGCACAGTCCGTAATTGTATATTGAATCTTCCAGCGAGAGTTTGTGTGTTTGTATCTTATTGTGAAATACTGTTTGGGTGAGCCATCATATTTACCTGTCTAACCGTTCTTTTTTTTCGATTCTATTATATATATTTTTGGGTTGAAAACTCATCACAAATTCATGTGTTGAAATGCGATATTTGTAATTAGAGTGCGTGCACTGAGAAGTAATTATTCATTTGTGCCATATTCGCTTGTAAAATCATTTTTGGACCATTTAGTGTAATTAGTAGTTGAACACAGGTAAGCATGATTAAAATTCAAATATAAATTCATTCATTAGACGGATTTTGTGTTGTGATCAGTGTGAATTCGAATTCTTGATCAAGAACCGAGTCTCATGTACAATTCTATTCATTTTCACCACGCAAATCACTTAGTTTTCTGAACAAATTTCTATTATGTTTCTTAGTAAATTGCTTGGTGTTTTTGCTTTCTTCATGCATTGTGACACAGTTTGATGTGAACATTTGAATGAACATTTAAATGGAATACATTTGAAGTACATTTTTAAACATGTTGCTTCGTTCATTGGAGAGATAACGAATGTGTATTTGTGTTCCGATTTGTTTGTATCGTTTTACTCTATTGACACAAATTCAAGACAGTTCGTGTCTTCAAAACGTATTTACATGACTAAAAAACAGAGAGAAGTAGAGAACAGAGAAAGAGGAAGGGAGAGAGTTCATCATCAGCTGATTCATTTCAAATAATAATAGACAATGGATGATCTCATATATTTCAGTGCATGTCAAGCGCCATTTGTGAATGTTTTGTTCGAACAAATGTTTCAATTTGTTCATTTCATCGTTGAATTACTGAATGAATTAGCTCACCTGAACTTCACATTTTGCGCAATGATAAACACACTCACACTCATGGTCGCCATTGTACAAAATTGTTTATTTGCGCATTCAGAACATTATCATTTATCAAATAAAAAGCACATACACGATATATAAATGCCGTCAAGTGCGATAACTGAACATCATTTGAAATGAATTTGCTATATCGAAAAATGAAACTCGATTGTTCGATATGATTTTCTCAATCGAAATTACTCATAATTTTTGTTTATCAGAAAAAGTGTCGGCACAACATCATAGAATAAGTGAAGGCATACTCAAGGCATAGACAAGGGTTTATAGCACAATTCTATTGAACAAGCTGAGCGATGAGGTTACTTTGGACGGCAGTGACTTTGATCTGTACGATAAATTTCGTGCACGGTAAAACCAACAATGGTACGGTGAGTATTGAAAGCAAACAATTTGATCTGTTCGTCTCCATAAACTCACGAAACCATTGATTGCAGGGCAAGATAGAAATTTGTGATACATGTCTTTGTAATGTAAATGAAAAATATTTAAATTGTGCCGATCAAAATTTATATAAACTATTCGAAGCCAAAGACTGGGATGCACTCATTTCAGCGAACAAAACGGCCGTATTGGACAAAGTTGAGTATGTTTTATTTTCAATCATTTTTTTATTCATTCGAAAATTCATAAGAGAATAATGAATCATTTTTACCTTTGCTCGATTTCGTTATCTACAGATTTAAAAAGAATGGCATTGAAGTGATAACGATCTTTCCAAAATTGGACATTCGTTCATTGAGTTTTCAACATAATAAAATTCGTCAAATTGAAGATCGAGCATTTTTCAATTTGACCACGTTGGAACGATTAGATTTATCGGATAATAAACTGACACGCGAAGCATTGCAGAGCAAAGTGTTCGAAGGACATTATGATTCAAAATTGTATGAACCATTGACCAATTTGAAATGGTTAAATTTGGCATCAAATGATTTGCATACACTGGACCTCGATCTATTCGATCATTTTCCAAATTTGGAAACGCTGATTTTGGCACACAATCAATTCAGAATTCTCGATGGAAATACTGTCAATGCGATTTCGGGCATTCCAAAATTACAAGTATTAGATATGAGTGCGATGGAACTAAAAGAAATACCATCATCGCTATTTCATGGACCACGAAATACATTGAAAGTGCTCAATTTAACTGGAAATCTACTTACCGAAATTCCCGATGCCCTTCATTATGCCGCCAATTTGGTCGAATTGGTTTTAGATGATTTACTCATTGAGCACATTGGTGGAAAGTAAGTTGATTACATATTTCGACGAATGGCGCGAGTATATTTTTGTTTTATTTCAATAAATTCACATTTGGGTTCGTTTTCAATCTTAAATAGCTACAGTCGATTACCTAAACTCAACAAATTGGAAAAGCTGAGCATTTCGTTTATGAGAAAATTGCAAACGATCGAAGAAGGTGCCTTCTCAGGCTTACCCGCATTGCGTGAATTTAACTGTCAATCGAACCTTCACTTAAACTCAATTCATCCGCATTCCTTCAACTCGACGGAAATCCATGGCAACTCATCGGGAACTAATGTCGATTGGCCACCGATTCAAAGTGTACGTATATTCTAAGGGAATTAATGTGGTCTGACATTTGAAATAGTTTCAACCTTTTTTCAATTTTTTATATGTTGTTTTCACAGTTGATTTTGTACAGCAATAACCTGTCGGTGATTAGTAAAGAATTGATCTTATACTGGAAAGAAATTGATGAGATTGACATTCGTTACAATCCATGGAAGTGTGCCTGTGAAAATCAATGGATGGTCAATGAATTGATACCCATGATTAAAGAGAAATCAAAGAAAAACCCTTCCTTGTATGAGGATATCAAGTGAGTTGAATGATTTTCTGTTGAAGAATCTTGCGTTTAACACAATGAATCCGTCAATATTTTGTCTCGTTTCATGTTATTCCGAAGATGTGATCATCCAATCGAAATGAAGGGTAGATCATTTGATGACTTGAACTTGAAACATGTTGGAATGAGATGTGAAGACTATTATGGCCGACGACCAGAACGAGATGGACCGATACTTGTCGGCATTTTTATCGGTAATAATTTTGCATATATTTCCAAGACGGCACTGTTACAGAAAAATCTTTAATCAATCTTTAATGCTTCTAAATGCTCTAAATATTTAATTTCAGGAATTTTGATTGGCATTCCAGTAACGATGGCCGCTCTATTCCTATATAGACGTGGATGTTTCGGTATATTTGGATATAGACCAAACCCAGCCGACTATGGTCGAGCGTTTTATAAACGAACAGAACTCAGAGAGGACTTACACATATAAATTGCATAATGTTCAATGTTTAGTTTTTACCAGAAATGTCAACCAAATTCAATTTTAATGCATTTTGATTACAATTGTGATTTTATGCTAGTTTAAATACATACATAATACATACGTACATTATTATTTTGTGTACTTTTTTGCTTATTTCTATTTACATCCACATCGAGTGATATCATACGATAACATACATGACTAATCATAGTACTCTCTTCATACTGAAGCGAAGAATCGGAACTTATGAAGTGTAAAGGGGGTAATTATACTCTTACTGTCCTATTTCTACGTCATATCATGATGGTCATAAATGGTTACGTTTGTAACAGATATTATTGCCAAGTAGCGCCTTCATTTTTATCTTCTGATAAGGTGTATGTCGTTACATCATGTTTTGTTGTGAAATCGTGAAATTTCTATACTCAATAATCATAAAAATTTACCACGAACACTTTCAGCATGCATATAGTGCGCAGATGAATGTCCTTATATTGATTGTCAACCTATAAAAACATTCACAACTTCGAACCGCATACATGCAGTTGACTATTGGCAAGTGAAACGTAAAAGATGACAAAGTTCTTTTTCTAGTTGACCATTTTGGTGTGCGCAGTCTACATCCCAGTTAACTAATTTGGGACGTTTTTGGCTAAAGCCAACTGAGATTGAAGTTGATTTGGCTGATTTTTCAGTCAATCCTAGTAGAGAAAAATACAACTTAATTCAACTTCAATCGCAGTTGACTATATAGACAAAATCGTCCCAAATTAGTCATCTGTTTAAAATGACATACATAGACGACTAAAGTCGAGTTAACAAAATTCAATTTCAGTCGATTTCAGCTAACCAGTCAGTCAGTCACTTTTTTTCCACTCGGGATTATATTGGGTGCCATTTCAAGGTTCCTACCAAATGAAAGTAAATTAAATCCAATTTTTCTCAATTATTCTAACAAAAGTGATTTTAATAAAATATATAATTATTTTTAGATTACCCAGGTTTATGTTTCGATGGAAAGCAAACCTATCAGCCTGGAACATATGATCCATCAAATAACTGCTCACGATTTCATTGCGGAAAAAATGGTTATTTGGTACACGAAACGTAAGTTACCGTAAACTATGCAAACATTACCAAATGATAAAAACAATCAAATTTCATTGTTATTTGTAAGATTAGGTGCTCAGCAGTCGCAACTTCACCAGGATACCACAGAAATATTGATTATACCAAAAAATACCCAGATTGCTGTGTGAATGTTGTAAAAGATGACTAGGTTGAAAATATAATTTTCGAATACCTCTGTCTAAATTGAATTTGTAATTTTTTTTTCAATTTTATTCCAAATCTCATTTAATTCTGAGATTAATTAAAATGATTTATTTCTAAAGATTCAATTCTTTAACAGGCAATATCGAATTTTTGCCTTTCAATAATGAAAATAAATCAAAGAAGAGTTTTTTCGCATAACCAAAATGTGCAGTTCTTATTTTTTTTATCAAAAATGTCACATTTTGGAGCTATGAAGCACTGAGTAATTTTTTTTATATTATTTTGTGTGCTACTTTATGAGTTCGAGCACTGATTTCTATTTATATCGACACCGAGTGGTACAATTCTTCATAATTTTTGGTCTTACTTAAAATTTATTTGACGCGTATGTGGATGACACAATACACTCTTTGAAATATGAATGATTTTCCGAAAGTTCCATTAATTAATAAACAATATTGGTGCAGGTATGAAGGTTGTCTGCACCAAATAGGTAAACAAAAAGTTGATCTAAATGGCCAAACAAGCATTTAATTACCACTGTGATGTATTCTAAAAAAATGAATGAATTAATCCAATTCTGACTTTCATTTTGTTACACAACTGATAATTTCAATTTATTTTTTTCATTTTCGAATATAAATCTGGTTAACATCTCTTCTTCTTCTTCGTTGGTTGTCGTTGTGGTGGTGGTGTAATAACGTTGACTCTGCAAGGGGTTGCAACGAAGGTAGAAATTCATTGTAGCTGTGATTCATGAGCGTTGATTGTGCATCATGTGGCAAAAATGAATCATAATTTCCAACTGGTTTAATTCTGCTGGATGTTTCAGTATTCGGCTTAATATTTTCTTCGTCCAAATAGCTGTCAAATCTGTCATTTATAGAATTGAATTCAAGTTATTTCACTCCATTTTATGATCTCAAGTTTTGAAAATAATTACTTGTTGTTATAACCTTCGTAATGAATCTTATATTGTTTTACCACTCTACCATTCAAATACTTATTACGAGCGCCTAAAATTTTAGCCTTAAACCATTCATTTGGCCATTTAGAATTGGGATCTCTTGCAAAAACTCGTTGACCTACATTTTTTTGTAAAAGAAAATTATGCACCAAAAGTTTTAATATAAATTAAAATTTTGCAACCTATATGGAATTGAGATTCTCTTCTTTCTGAGCCACCAGAACCATGTCCGTACATCGTATTAATGTTTAATTTTGCTTTAATTACTTTACTGATCAAAAATTCGTCTTCAAATAAGATGTTTCGCTTTCAATTTTCATAAAACTTATGAATACTCGGATACTTGATATATTCAGCGAAATTGATTAAAATGATTTAAATTCTAAAGGCCTACTAGTTTTTCGTACAAACATCACAAATACTTCATATCCGTCTGTGTCTTTGTGTCTATTCGTTAAAAATGTAACCAATATAGAAATGCATTTCGCTTTCACGATCAAAATCTTGGTGAAAATTGAAACATCATTATGATGGTGACATCAATATTTCTTTCGTTTGAATTTTTCACTGAAAATGTTCCCAAATTTATTACCTTTTATTTTCCCTATACCTCAGATAAGATTATTTTACAAAATAAATTTGATTTTAAACAGCATGTACTGTTTAAGTTTAGACTGTATTGCTCGTGAGATGCGTGCGTTAAAAAAGTAAGGAAAAACCTTACACTAATAAAAACGTCTGAAATGAAATTCGTCCAGCTCACATCGTCCAATCTCTTTAATTGGAAATTTTTAAACCGCAAAAATGATAGGAAATTAGTGGTTTGTGTACAAATTCCATCTGGCCAAAAGTCAATAATGTCTCCATCAAGCATTTGTTTGTATATTTCGATCTTACAAAATAAATCATTTCCATTGCCATTTCAATGTAACGACAATTTTGTATTCATTTTTTATTTTAAAAAAATGAGAAAAAAGTACTGTGTACTTCATTTCCTTTTGTATTATTTGAATGTTTTAGAAAATATTCAACAGCCATTGTTAGTTTGTGTGTTTTGAACGTGTGATGTGGTCTTTGAACGTAAAGGTTTTTTTTAATTGAACACATAATTTCGAATTACTCACACGAAATGCCACCATTTGTAATCGTTTTTTCAGCAAAACAAAACCGAGAAAAAAAATCTAACGCAATTGTGTGTTTATTTGGCGTACGACAGTTTCATTTTGGGCTATTGTTCCAACTGCCATTGGTGTCTCTTTTACAGTTAAAAAAAAAACAGAATTTATTGCATTTATTCGTTAAAATGATAAATCTTTTAAGTTATAGAAATTATAAATTGTCGACTATGTAATATCTTTTGGTGTGACGAGAGAGCAGTAAAAAAACACAAACAATTTTTTTATGATGTAATATATGAACGAAACAAACGGCGCAAATGTATGAAATATTGGCAAAAAAATGGTTTTCGCACTAAATTGGTTTTTTTTTTCTCAATTGTTGCTAGTTTGAAAATAATTACGATGTATCAATGGCATCCGACAATTTGTTAGAAAAGGTCATAGTGTGTCTCAAATTACTTGTACGTACACAAGTTTTGGCAGCATTTCCGGAGCAACATGAAACAGACTTAGTCATGTAGCAAAACGTGTACAATGAAAAATAAGCCGATAGACGTACGGACCCGAGTAAAATTTTATGCTTTTTTCGTTGGACTGAAATAAGACATAAAGTAAACAATGGATATATACATCTGTAGCCAATTAGCGTGCATTAAACCTTTTCGCTTTTCACATGGAAAATACTTTGTTTATTTTATTTTATCGACTTATGCCCGGGTACGCTCACACTTATTCTGTCTCATTCGGTTGCCCACTATGGATCTCTTTTCTTTTAACTCAATCCATCTCTTTTCCTCTATGTATATCTGTCTCTATCTTTCTCGTGCTCACATTTAATCTGAATCTCAGTTTTCTTTCATTTATTCGCTTTTACTTTTGCTCTAAAGATCTCATTCATTTTTAAAATTTTATTCCCTCAAAATCAATGGCAACTCTGGGAACAGCGTACACTATGAAGCATGAGCGAAATGCGTCTAAATCGGTGGTTTGATGTCAAGTGTCAATAGTGAGTGAAAAATTCCAATGGAAAGGCGTGCCATTTGCTGTTTAAACGCTGAAAATGGTACAAAATTAGTTCGCATTTGGATCATGGCCATTGAAAAATCAATATACATTTTCTGTAAAAACAGAAACATCACGGCACAAGAAAAAAACAATACAATTACGTTCTATACAAAATTTACATTTGCGTCTACAAAAACTTTTGATTCTGTTTTTCTTAGAAAATAAATTCTAAATTTTTTTCCCTTCTCGATCATGAATTCTCTTGTAATGATTGTTTTCGCATTCAATTGGTGGAAAAAATCATTTACAACTCTTTTTTTGATTCGACAAGATGTGCTATGCATACAAAAGACTCTTCTGTAGCAATTTTGAGAAGAGCTAACCGCAAGCAAACACCATACAATGTATGCCGTTCACAAAATGCACGGAATAAATGATATTTTTGAGAGTGAGCGAGAGACTGAAAAATTGTGTTGATTTCGAGGTGATTATCATTTGAATAGATCTAAGTACCACATGCAGGCATCAAATGTGTGTACTCACGAAATAGATACACCGGGCCATTATAATGATTGGTCGTAACGCTGAATTTGTCTTCAATTTCTAATTGGATGTCTCTTCCCGTCTCTCCCTTTGTGTATGTGCTTGCGTTTTATTTTTGCATTCAACTATTTTCATGTGCAACTGATTCGTACAATTACGATTACATCGACGAAATTTTGCTTGTTCATTTTTTTTCCATGAATACGATCATTATCGTTATATGGCTAACTATCATCATTCGTTTAATATTTTGTTTTTAATGTTTCGTTTCAAGTGCTTTGTCATTTTCCAATGAAGTTTTTTATTCGACAGCGAAACTTTTAGCGTATGAAAGACTGTTAAAAAAATGCAACTAACTACTTTTAAGTGCCGAAGATGTCTTGTTTATATTATTTATATTGTTCATAATCAATCTACTATCAATAACAGTCTCACCTTATTTTTTTTCATTATATTTTTACACACGGCAAAATCAAGTTGAAACAAGTACCCACCTGACACAAAATCACGTCATCATTGTATTTTTATTGAAATTTTGTGTGCATAGTTCAAATGCACACGTTTGATGGCAAAAATATAAAACGACGATGTGTCGACAGGTAATGATTACAATTTTTTATGAGAAAATTGCATTAAAAGGCGTAAGTTTTTATCGTTGTGTTTTAAAATAGCTGCGAAAAAATGATTTCAAAAAGAAAAAAAAGTTTAAGCTGTAGAAAAATAAAAACAAAATTACTTTGGTGAATGGTTTGAATTGAATGCTATATTGGATGGCTGAGAATAATATTACTTTAAAAATGCGCATAAATGGCCATTCTTCATTATTTCGATTCGCTTTTTACTTCTGAGGTGAGTATTGAAACACCCATCACCATTTTATTCTCAATCGTTCATATATGTGCTTGCTGCGGTTACTGGTTCTTTTAATGCCAAATATTGCGTAATTTAATAATTAGCCATCTATCGATCGCGTATGGTGCGCAGTGCGCATTACATTTTTGATGACATTGTTATTCCAATCAATCAGCCGAATTAAAAACGCAAAACAATTTGAATGAAGGCTTCAACGTGCCATGATTTTACAGTGTTCTCGTTCAATATGTTACAATGTGTATGCTCGTTGTTAATAGCAACCGTACTTTATTTTGTATTATGTGTTCTATGACGAATTGGTGCCTTGGTACAGTATAAACCGATCATACATGAGTTACGATTATCAAAATACATTGTATGAGTCTCATGCTAAGCGTTCATCGATTCTCATGATTTTCATTCACAAATTGCCTGCTTCTTTTTTTTTAATTCGACTCACAAACATTTTCTATTGTTTGGCAAAAATGTGCAAGTGAATTGTGTATGTGTTTTTTTTTATTCGTGATTGGCTTGTGCGCCAATATACGGTTGTGCTTTTTGAAACAACCAAGGTAATGCATGTTAAATGGCTTTTCGTTTGAAAGTAAATAAAAGAGAATATAACATACACGAAATAAATTAATGTGTATATCGAACGGCATACCGAGTCAGTGACTAAACAAATAAATGCTTAAAAATTTGTTGATACCAAAGAATTGAAAATGAAACAGAGAATAAAAAGCGGAACGCGCTATTTACCCATTTGACTAGGCCGGGCCAAGATGAGCGAAGAAGAATCAGCAAATTTCCAATGTATGGCAGAAGAAAAAAAAGTGGCACACAAAGCCACGCGAATATAATCACAAAAATGCAGAACTTTTTTTTCATTGAAAATTAATGGACGCTTCGAGCGAAACAGTTCAATGTCGTGGAATTACACGACGACGAGAGACGCTCAAAACAAAGTGAGCATTTGGAAAAAGACAAAATAGAATTTAAATGGAAAATGACGATGATGATTTGTGGTACCTGCTTACGATTGAAAGTGATCTAATGAAATACATGACTTGAACTTGACCGATCGCAAGCAGTTTTGACTACGAAAAAAACCGATTTATGACAAATTACGATGGTGGTTTTGGTCGGGTCATTGTTATAGTTAATCAATCTCAGTCGAAATGAACAATTGCCACCTTTTTTTATAATCTCACATCGATTGCGTAAAAACCCAAATTAAAAATATAAGAACACCTTGATTGTTATTCTTTCATTTTTTTGGCATCAAAATCGGACCAATTTGACTGCATTCACTTTTGTGAAGAAAAAAAAAAAATGTTCTGCGCACTAAGTCTTGAAATGAGCGAACTGAACCACACGGAAAACGGTACCATATATCCTTGAAAATTATTACAGTTTTATTTTATTGATCAAATTACACACTTGTGCATGCAATTCAACCGGTATTTCTCTTGTGAGAAAGACTTCAGTGCAGACTGTGCAGACATCCAAAAAATTATATCTAACCACAGTTAGCAATAAGAACGAAATTGTCCATGTTGCTGACGCACTTATCGATGTGCTGTTTTGAATACGACGTCATGGTTTGAACAGTTTGTTGACTTTATTGATTTATAAAACTGTTTTTGTGCAACTGGTTTATAAGAATAAAGAAAGATTTTACGCGATCGAAACATTGATTATCCAAATATATCAAACGATTTTTTTTATACATCGAAGTTTGGTGGTTCAACTTATTTATAGCATTTATTGGCGCTAACCAAATTAAAATTTGAGAATGAAATCGTCGATAAAAACATATAAATGCAAAAACAGGATATTGTTTAAAAGAAATACTGTAAACCACAGATCAACTCTTGAAGGACATGATCGAAATCTGCATTTTTCGGAAATATTAAAACGTATTTTTTTAAAGAAATTAAAAATTACTTGTTTTCTTTGATGATTTCACAGTAGGCTCCAAAGTCTTCATAATAATTGGAATTTGTGTGTAAATTTATCGGTTGTACTTCAAAACAAATTATCATATAGTTCACTCAAGATGTCTGAAATATCACCTACTTCTAATTAACTATCGTGACAATAACTTTCAATAAACTTATGACCAAACGATTCTAAGCTCATTTTTCGAATGCTGAATATTTGACCAGAACTGTTGTAGACAACCCGGAGTGCGGGCACCTTTCTTGTAAACAGTTCTGCTTACACAAAAGTTTGGCGCAAATTATCAATTTTTTTTTTTGATAAAAATATCGCATTAATTGAAAACAAATTGATATCAAATGTGTGGTAAGCAAAATGAAAAAAAAAATTGTGCAAAAAACTGCAAACCAGTTTTGCGTGGTCAGTTTGTGAGCTCAATGTCGTGAGATGAATCAATCGTGCGAAAGCATATTAAATTCATTCACTTTGTGTTGCATATATGGCTTTTTTTAAACAACAGAAATGAGAGAAAAAAACTATGTCGAAACAAAAGCGATCGCAAAACATTTCTTAAATCGAATGTGAAGTTATATCGAAGACAGTTAATTTGCGCTCTTGGAATTGTATATACCTTTCACTATTTTTGTCTTGAATACTTCGTATGTTTTTGTTATTGTACAGTGCTCGAAACGGTGCAATTGGAAAAGTGACGGCAGCTTCAAGCTGCCAACTTATAAGATCGATTTCAACTACTTATACCCTAATTGGATTAACGTGCATTCATTCATGGAATGCATTCTCTTAATCTTACTACAATCTTTCTCTCTTTTTCTGTATGTCTCTACGGTATGATTGCAATCTCTCTGAAACATACAACACAGTATGCTCACGAGATAATTATATCGACCAGAATCAACTTTGCATCATATACTTTTTTCTTTAATCTGGTCTTATCAATAACCTTTGACGAAAAAATTAGCAAAAACTATTATAAAAAAGTCTGAGCATATGCGGGTTTCATATCATTTTTATATTTTGCCTCGTGCCATGCAAGAAATGACTGCGCCGAAAAAATGTTGCGACAAGCAACATTTAAATAAATAATCAAGAGATCGTTGACTCAAATGCTGAAAATATATAGTGTAATCCGCTTAACACAGGTATTTGGTTTATTGACACATCATCGTTCTTTGGATCAAATGATGAAATTTGAAAAAAAAATAGCACTATTGCACCACTCTCTATCCGTATAAACAATTTAAAAAAAAATTAAAATGCCACTGTTTTTATTATTTTACGAACGCGTCAATTTCAATTACCATCGCAAAATGATTTATCTAATGATCGCTATCTTTTTCTATTCAATGTTGTGCGCAATATAGTGTGTGTACTTTGTTTACTCGATTTATTTGCTTCTTTATGAATGAATGAATGAGTGACAGCAGCCACAGCAGTCGTCGCATTGCCTATTGTTTGTATATATTCTATTTGATCAACGTGCAAAAATGCACACGGAAAGTAATGAACATGACAAAAGACACGTAGCTTGTCGGTGTTTTTTTGCATTGCAATGTTCATTTTGGAGATGAAGTGAGAATTTGTCAAGTGTTTTGTTGAGCCTAAAAGCAGCAATAATACATCCATTACACCATCGACATTGGACGTAACGTAAATATTTGTCCACTTCGTTATACCGGCAACGTGTTGATGCATGCAAAAATTGTCCATTCAAACATTGCTACTGCCTCTTTCATCGCATTCTAACCAACCACGATGATGGTGTGTTAGAATAGTACGCATCCGCAAGAGAAACTGAACCGTCGTATACTTCGGTGACAATTAGCATTTTTTGTTTCACATTCGGTTGTAGGAGAGATGTTTCGACCAAAACAAAGCGCATTTAGCGTGTCGTCACAACACATATTTTACAAATAAATAAATACAATGGAAAAGGTCAAAATTTACAATACGCAAATATTATGCGCTAACTCAAATATGCGAGATTTTATGATGTTTGTATGCGTTTCACGGGCCGAAAAAAACACGATTTGGTTCAAAACGTGTATTCAGTGTCCTTCCGCGCCAAATTCACCATTCACTCCAATATCATCTTGTTAATGGGCTTTGTCAACTCACGCAAGCGCACCGCGCGCTTGAGTTGAACGAACAATTATTTAAAAAGAAAAACACATAAGAATATTAATAAATGGACGTTACACATTCGACGAAGACATTAGTATGTTTTATTTTCCTGTCGCCAACCAAAAGCCATCTAAAGTATAAAAAGAAGCAACCAAACTAGACGGACATACAAATGAATACATTTTCGATGAAATATTGCACAAAATAAAGTCATGTCGTTTGACAAACGAAGCGAATCCGTACTTCTTTTGTGTTGTAACCATTTTGTCTGTTGAATGAACGCGCGGCATCTACTTTTGTTAACCAATCTTGTTCTACAACATCGTAATAGTAATAATGTGCAACGACAATGGCCATTATGATTGTCGATTGTAGGCTTTATTAAATGTGTGTTCGCCGTATGACTTTTTGGTCAGAACCTTTAAGGGATTTCAGAGGCAATCACTTTCAAATCCTTAACAACCTTGGAAACGTGTTACATACACAAAAATAAAAAGTCATATGTAATGGATACGAAGATGTTTCGTCACCTTTTTTCTTCCACAACGAGATTTACAACGGCGAACGGTCATACATGATCATCGCGGATAAACATGTAAAATGCGTTCTATAGAAATGATTTGAAAATATTTAAAATAGATAGCTATATCGATCAACGGGATTTAAATTTGCGTTTGTGATACATGTCATTCGTCACATAGGTAAACAGTCTATCAATACGGATACGATCGAGTAACTGAACTGAGTCAGTGAAATAATTTATAGTGTGCAATTTGCTGCTGAACCAATTAATCGCCTTAATAATGACCACAATTATTTCATATTGTGAGAAGACAAACGATTCGAAAATCACAGCGACGTGCACTATGTCGCATGTGTATGCACCGATAAATAATTATTGTATTTATGTTCGACGATTGAATTTAATTCGCGGAATCTATAGCTGATATATGCGTAAATATTTAGATGTCACTCGTCGGACGTTTGGGGGGTAAAATAACGAACGGCTACATTTGTATGATTCAATGGTTCGTATACTCCGATCGAATCGCGATAATCGCCAATAATTTGTGTGATTTGGTTGGGATTTTTCGCATTGTTACCCCTTTGAGTGTAAACACACTCATTATTCAACTATTTTGTATAAACAGTCGTGTCGAATAGAAAGAGCACTTCAACGAAGCGAGAAAATCGGTTTCTGTTCAGTTTTAAAATTTATTTTATTCTTGATACCTCGACTCGATTTTGTTTTTCATACGATTTTTTCTAGAAAAATGTTTCCCGTGTCAAACGGGTTTCTATGACTTTTTCTTGTACTTAAGGTCACTTTTCTGCCAATATCACTTTTCGGAAGATTAAAGAAACCATCCAAACACAATAAAGAATGATTGGCAATTTTGCCAAGTGTTTAAAGTTGATTTTTGACCCAAGAGAGTCTCGACTTGCACTTGTCGCTGCGATATTTTGTTTGTGTGTGCTTGTCATCGTTGTTCTTCCATCAAAAATGTTCAAATTTAAAATTCAAAATTAAATGAGAAGACAGATCATAATCGATCGCTTCCACTGGATCTACAATAGTAGCATTCACGACCTATTTTTTGTTTGAACTATGGTTCCGTAGGGCTTTGAAACCAGTTTAATGAATAAAAATGTAATAGTATGTTATCTATAGCGTGTATGTTGTTGCTTTTGATTCTGACCGAATTTTACTGCCGTATCGTCTCACGAAAGTGTGTATTTTGACCGAATGCCTATTATGTATGGTTTTATTTGATATTATCATGCTCTCGATATATAAAATTGAATATTTCGACATAAAATGTGGTTTCTCGACTGAAATTGCTGTGTTGGCTGAACTCGTAATGTCCAGTAGTTTGAATTTTCAAAGTAAATACGCTTTTAAATCATCGCCAAAATCTCTAAAAAAATAGCGGTCCATTTTATTAAAAAAAATATTGACGTCGCCGGATGCACTTATAAAAAAACAACAACATTATGTCACCCCGGTAGAATTTGTTGTTTGGTTTTTGATTAAACTGCTGATTTAGAGTTGGTTGTGTCCTCGATTAAACACCTTTTTTAAATTGTTCGTTTTACTGTTATCTTGTGCAAGCACGAAATGGCGAATACTTGCATAGAACATAAGTGTTGAATTTCACTGCAATAATTTGCAATGATTATTGTGTTCAAGCAGTGGAACAGAGGACAATCATCATCATCAACGTCGTCGTCGTCGTCGCTCAGTTCAATCGTCTCTCGTTCACATCGAGCACACAGGTAACAAACGTAAATGCAAAATACACGCCATGTATAAACAGAGAGCGAATGAGCGAGTGAGCGACCGATTAGCCGGTGCGAAAGATAGATGGAGAAAGAGAGAAGAAGAAGAAGTCAAACGATCAACGGAATAGCAGAAAACGTTGGGCTCGCAAACGAGCGCACAACAAATCAACAGGTAAAACAAATAACAATTCTGGCCACACGACGGTAGTATGTTTAAAATACTAAAACTATTCGCACGCGCTTTGCCTCACAGTCCGTGCATGTTGCGTATTTTTTTCGTCGTACTTTTGCTACAAACTCCAATCGCAATTGATTTTTGATTAAAGCTGAATTTTCTTTATTGTCACGAAAACTTAGCGATATTAAATAAACGGAATTGTTTTTTTTTATTCACGGAAGAGTGTCGTATCATGTGCACAAAATAATAAAAATCATTTGAAAGTGATGTCCACTTGTCATCGGTGCATTGAGAGAATAACGAGAGAAAAAGCGAGCCAAGAACGAAATTATACAAATTAATATTAAGACAGTGATTGACTTTTCCGCTGTTCATTCAAGCATTTCAAACGATTAGTTCATTGCTTCTTTTTTTCGCGATATTTGTTTATTCAACATCAAACTATTTGGGAAAGAGGGAGAGAGAGAGAGAATAGTGATTTATGCAAGAAATGAGTGAGTTCTATATTATGTGAAATTCAATTTTTATAGTGCAGTTGAACCGATGTTTATGAAATGGAGATAAATTGAAACGATGTTGCTTTTTTTTTGCTCAATCAACTACAAAGTGACAAGAGAATTGATTCGAACTTAAGCAATGAATTGATCAAGTGGATGTCTTATTATTAAATTCACATTTTTAACCGATTTGTTTTTCGTCAAATTTGAAATGTTGCTGTAATTTTCGAGTTCCTTCGAAACCATTTAGAGAATGTGCTGTAAAATCAGTGATTAAATGGAAAAAGCGAAAAAAAACGGCGCAATTCCCCCAATCTCATATAGATCAGCGATCTTTTCTAGTTGTGTTATAATTACTCGGTGTTGCTTTGTCTTTTTGTTTTCAATCATTGTGAGTGGGAAAAACTTTCTACTTTCTTAGTGAAATGGAGAGAACAAAAAGAAATGGAAAAATTTCAGCCACACTCACAGAGAGACAAGCCCCGTACTAGAATGTTATCTTGCAGTTTGTTGCGAATGAAACACCGAAAATTAACTGTTAAAGTAACTCTCGCATGAATGGTCGAAAATCATAATGTGGCCACATAAATTAACCACAAACATTTATAATGTGAACAATATCATAAACTGCTGCAACTGTCGCGCGCGCATACACACAAATGATAATAACTTTAAGTGAATGAAGCGATTGTGAATACACACACAGTGTTTTCTCTGTTCGCAATGAGATCTTTCTCTTTTTCGTCTATTATTTTCGACTGGTGGTGGTGAAGTACAAACTGGCGTTTGTTGTCTCAAATCGAGTCTTTTTACTTGGATTGACCTCAGACACTAAATCGTGTTATTTCTTTGCTCTTTGGTGATTTTCATCTGAAAAGGCATTTGTGCCGCAGTCGCCAACCAAATTAATCTCGACCAATGAATACATGAATTGAAATTCATAGATAACCGCACGTTTAACGGTATTTTTTTTGGTTATCGGTGCGTATGCAATAATGTATAAAGTTCAAATCACGACTCTAACTTTGCATAATTTCTCTCTCGCAGTGATATACCACATAGCGTGTCATGAAATTCAATCGAAACGAGAAAAACCGTCACTTTTCCACATTAATAGTGCGGTTGATAACGATTTATCAAACTGTTGTCGATTTCACTCTGTGTAGTTGGCCAAGAGCTCTTTCACAGTTGCACGCTCGCTCCGAGTGTGAAGAAAGGCAGTCGAATGAACAAGAAGGCCGCTCAATGTGCAAGATGAAAGGCCGTTCAATGGAATGAATGTAATCATTTAGAAAACGTGGTCGGTTAATGTACGTGTTTCAAACAAAGATGAAAATCGTACGATATACAACATGGTGAACAGTCTCTCTTTATGCGCGTACCCATTTGATACGCTTTTCAAATCATTTTAACCACAATACGTAATCAAACAAGAAAATAATTGAACCAAACCAAAATTGTAGATACATGCCATTTCGTTCGGTACTCTCGTTTGACAATTTTTCAATTTTATGCACCAAAGCGAAATATATTGAAGAGAGAGGGAGAAAGAGAGAGTGAGTAAGAATGGAAAAGAAAGAGCAAGAGATAACGAGGAAAAAAAGCGCTTTAGCTTGAAGAGAGAGAGAGAGAGAGAGAGAACTGCCGTTAGATTATGCAGTCACATTTTATGTTCGTTCATTCACCGCATGCTGTATAATTATGATTATAATTGGAGCATTATTACATTGTGCGTCATGTGTATGCAATCTGCATGCAAGTGAGACTTTTTCTATATTATTTTGTCTCTTCTACTCATTCACTTGCTCTGTCGCGCTCTGTATGCTGGCATAAGGTGTTGCAGTATTTTCTCTAATACTATCTATGACGGCGATAACATGATTATTATATTCCAACGATGCCGTTTTTAACAGCATGTCCATGTGGTATGGATAAGTTTTAATATCTCACCGCGAGACTTGCGAGAGGTTGTTCCCCTCCGTTAATGCAACTATCGATTTGTCACGTAACATCCAACAATTCATTGAAATATCATCGTCTTTTCGCCAGTTACTTTTTCTCCATTTCATATAAACAACTGGCCAAATGCAATAAAACACCGAATTGCATTTAAATATTCATTCGATTTAAACATTGTTTCTTTTTCATCTCTGCTGCAGCCAATCAACAAAATAGCTAACTGTTATTTATTGATGTTATTTTACTCAACATTGAACCATTGGAAAACAACGAATAAAAACATATGATCGATTGAAGTTGACAATATTTTCAAGCAAACATTCATCATGGATAACAAACGACAGGTAAGTTCATTCGAAATACTCTTATTAACATGTAATGGACACTGATGAGTGTGGTGTCACAATTCATTCATTTGCATCTCGTTGCAATGCATAACACTTAATCAACAGATGATTCAACACACCATTCTTGCCAACATTTACATTTTTCTGATGAAGAATTCGACGAAATCAAAAATCGATTGAAAAAATATTCTTTTTTTTCGATTTTTAAGGAAGAGAGAAAAGTACGAAAGATCCAAATATCACACAAACTCGAACTTTTCGAGTCGAAATCATTTTTGTTGACCATTTTTGACAATGTTCAAACATCAAAGAGAAAAAAGTGTTGAAGAAAAATTTGGGGGGATTTATTTGACGTTTCGAGGTGAATGAGAAGAATTTCCGTGTAAAACTTCGCATAAATCATTTTTTTATTCTCTATTTTTCGAACAACGTGATCGCCTGCAAAGTGTGTACACCACCAAGAAGCAATTTCTAGAAGCTGTTTTTGTCGTCACTAAGTCAGTTCATGATAGTTGACTTGTTTGCGTCGTTTTTTGTACACCAATTCGCACTGAATTAATTTTAATGGGAGTTTGAAAAGTTGGATTTGTCCAAATTTCACTGTCTTTTCCGTATTTCTCTTCTATTTCATGTTTTGTTCAATTTCCAAACAATTCCAATCTGGAAAATTGAAAAAACTCCATATTGACCGCACAAACTATGGAAATTTACAATGCATCATAAACAAGCTTATTTCTCATCATGAATGTTCTGATTTCAAGTCTATCATTTCAAGATTTCTGAACAATTCTGTCATGTTTGTTACGTTGTCTCTTTTCTTAAATGGATCTAAAATGTTCTTGTTTCTTGGTATTTTGATCACATCTTGAACTTGGCCAACATCGTTTGCGCATTTAATTTACGTCTATAACAAATGTGGATGGTATGTAAAAAAATGTGATGAACTTGTTTCATGGGCAGACGAGCCTTTGTTTAAACTGGTTTCCGTCTAAATTCTCGTGCCATTCAAAAACTAGTTGATACACGCACTTTAAAGTATGCATAGATAAAGGACATACAAGTAATCACTTAGAAGTAGAAGAAGTGAAACGGCCAAATGCATTTTACGTGCAATGGACAAAAAATTCCGGTTTTTATAATAAAATGTTGATTAAATCAACAATCAAAAGTGCGTTTTCATTAAACTTGGCCGAATTGATTGAAATTTCATTGGCCAACGTTAATTTCCGTTTTGAACAAATCGCTGTGATGTAATGGATGGTTGCATTTTTAGATTGCATCAATACTTAACGATTTGATTTACGCATCGATGCGTGTAGGCATTTTTAACGATTTTTTTTTGTTGCAATTTGCAATTATTAAAGCAAAAAGTGAGACATTGCAATTGTTTTGTTCTTAAACAGAAAAAAAATTGTTCGATGCGCTTGTATGTCGCAATATATTTTCAACAATGATTTCACAAAATCAACTCTGAAAGACGCACCCACACTCTCAAATACACACAGGTTTTTTGGAACGATTTTTTTTAGAGAGAACAATGCTCAAATCAAGCCTATCATTACATAAATGGTTTCAAATCTGGTTTAGTTGGTATATTTGCACAAATTCCGTAGACTCATTCATTGACGCAAATCACATCACGAGCTCATTAAATCCATTAAAAAACAACAGTTGATTCTCGAATTTTCGTCAGCCGACTATAAAAACAAACGGGAATCAGAGGAGTAGGCCACAATTAAAACATTTCAACGATTAACGGAGATTAAAAAGAAGCACATGCGCTCAATGATTTAATGAATTGACATTTTTTCCTTAAATCCTACCTAAAATCTTTATTCACCTCACGCGTACTTTGACCGCATGAAATTTACTTGCTCCAATATTAAGACACATTAACTCTTTCTAGCTCTTTACGTCTTCTGTGAACAATTTTTTTTTTGCGATCATAACATTTTTTACTCTGGAGTATTAGACGCGTCAATAGCTAGAATGTTTTCCGAAAAACACTAATTAGTTTCGAGAAAAAAAAATAACATAAACATCAACAACGTCACACATGACGTATTAATGTTTAATTGAGTGGAAATTGGATTAGAAAATTCCACAACATCTGATGTCGTTTTCAAAGTACAACTGGTTAGACAAGAATAAATGAAACCAACGAAATTTTCAATCGAATAAAATTCCCATTCACAGTTCCAATCGAATTTGGATAAAGTAAAAATAATCGTAAGCCGCACTGTGGTTTATGTCAGGTACAGGAGAACGCCCAAGAATTAAGCGGAAATTCCCAAACAGTTCAAAGAAATGATAATACGTAAATGCATTGAAGAGTCTTGAGTTATTATCATACGGTCTTTGAAATTACAATCAGAGAATTAAAGAATATAAAAATTGAAACAATGTCTACTGGGTATTTATACCTAAAAATGACAAAAAAGAATGTTGTGATTTTTTTTTAGTCAATACCAAGATAATATACCTTTCAGAAATGCAAAAGATATGAAATCTGAAGAAATTCACATTTTTCGGAATAGTAATCTTTGGGAAATAAATTGGAAGTCAAACGAAAGCTGTTTGAATGTTTTCTAACAAAATTCAGACCAAACCCAAAGTAATGCAATCAATGCCGAGGCGTGAATGAGGAATTAAGACATGAGAAAATAGAATTTAATTTGACAGCATGCAGATCCAAGTTGATAACAAAAAAGTCGTCTTGTCATCAGAATGGTAAAATGAACGTTTTATGATGGAAAGTCAGTTTTTTCGAGAAAATACAGCAGCAAATTAATGCAGTAAAAGAAAGAGAACACTGTTGTCAATGATTAAAGAAAGAGACATCAATGGAAAAATGGTGTATTTGGCATGAACATGCTTCAATAGACGAAATGTCTTAGAAATACCATTAAATATTGTTTAATATCAGTAATAATGATAAAAATCCAAATGCCATTGAAAGTGAAAGTGTTGTCAATCCAAACGAATTAATTCGTCTCGTGGTAAAGCATAAGCAAATATTACTAGGCTCAATCAAATGAGTAAGAAATACAGGAAATATTGTAGTTTGAACCGTGACGATGTTATTTTTTTTCAATGGGTACTGAAAAATCTGGTATTGGTATTTTAATTTTGGTGATGAGATCAAAGCGGCTCAACAAAATATAATTGAAAAACAATTCACCAACGATCAGGTTTGATCGCAGAAATGATGTTTACTGATTTTTTGTTTCGAAATAGTTGTTTGTCAATGTTTGTTGTTATCGTTGCTGCTTTGTACTGTCGTCAAATAAATATTTTATCAGATCAATAGCCTCCCGTAGCGAATAAAAAAACTTTACCACTTGATTCAGTAGTTGATGAACATGTGGCGTTCAATGCAGATAGAAATGAATGTCGAGATCACCATTTTATTGAATATTGAACACTTAAAATGTCATTCACGCATAGGCAAGCGCTTTTGTCAATTTTATGATTTTTCGCACCTTCGCATCAAATTGTTCTGCTATTTAAACTTTTTCCTCTCTAACCGTCCTTAATAATGAACAATTCGTGCACATTATCACCCAGTAACACTTGGTTTTCTCCATCTCCCAATCTTCTCCGCTTCTCTCTGTATGAGAATTGATCAAATCGCCGCTGAAAAATAAGATGGAAGTATGGAATGCGAATGTACAAACAATGAAATGTTTTATGGTCGCTTTTTGTTGGCTGTTATGATTATCGACTCTTGGCTGCACATGCTAATTATTTGGCAAAACAAAAACACTATAATGCAAAATAAATCGAAAATTGGCATTGAATGTGTGTTAGTTTTTTTTCATTCTCTATATTCCTATCTTCGCTGACTTTTGCACGAATCTTTTTTTCTTCTCTCAAACATTGAGAGAGAGAGAGAGCGAGAGAGATTGTTTTTGGTGTGGTCCGATCATAAATCCATTTGATATTCGATCGATTAGCGATTCTGAGTGAGTGTCAGTGTCATCTTGATTGCGAAACATATTTTTTTATTATCAAATTTGCAATAAAATTCGAAATGTTGGGTATACATCATACAACTTAACTATTCCAAGATGTAAAAAAAAAAACGAAGAGAAAGAAAACAAAAACGCATGCCACCTTGAAATATTCGAAACTTAGCCATACCATTTAGTTCATGCTTACGGTATCAAGGCATCTGAAATAGGCAACAATACGAAACCAACGCTCGCAACAACAACAAATTGTTCACCAATTCACAATGAACGAACATATATACTTAGCACCCATATAATATATTCATGAACGAAAAGAAGAGAGAAAAAAAACATGGCATTTGTTTATGCGATGCTTTAATTATAATATCGCTACTTTAATGAGCGAGTACATTTCATGCGCGTCGGATTTTATAATTCTTAGTCTCTTTCACAATTCGCCTACAGTAGTAATTTTTAATTCGCTATTTCTCAGTCTATTTTCAGTACGGCTTTTTTTCGCTCGTTTCGACATTATTTTTTCCTCGTGCTGTTTCTTTTTGTAATTTTTTTTTTTTTCTTAATTTTCTACTTTTTCGTTTTTTCCTAGTTTTTATCTCTTTTTCGCATGCACCTTTTTGCAAACCCCTTTCGCATATTGATGGGTACTGTTGAGTACCATCTATCCTCTTTCTTTATTTCAATCATCCCTCACCATCTCTCCCTCCTTCTCTTCTCTACTCCTCCCCTCGCCTTCTCTTTTGCTTTTTCTTCAAACTTTTTTTTTCGTTTCAACCGACTGAACTATGTTTTTGACCCCTTTCGTCGATGTACCCAATTTTCAAATGCCGTCTCTTCCATATCGGCAGCCTCTGTGCTACAAAGTCTGTACGTGCGTTTGATTGAGATTTAAACTCATCACGAAATAATCATAATTTATCGAGAAGATTTATAGCTTGCTTTATTACGTCACTATAAAATATTGTTTGTGCATTGTTTTAATTTTAAATTCGCACACGGATCAGATTCATCTATTCGAACTAAGGCGTTCATCAGTCGAATTAAAGCATTAATCAGTCAAACTTAATTCACAGCATGATAATTACTCTATTCAAAAAAAATATTATTGATAGAGTTAACAAAGGTTTCGTACATTATCACACTTCAATCACATAGCCTCGACATTTTCTACTCTTAAAATTTTGAGCACAAAGTCCGGATCGAAAAATCGACATTGATTTGTGTTATGCTCATTAAATGTTCGTTTTTATGACAATAATCTCCTAAATGAATTATTGCATGGTTTTTCGCTTAAAGAATTTCATTTAATGACTTCAAAATGATGTTACAAATGTTCATGGAGTTAAAGAAACGCTTGAGCAATATATTCATTTCAAATGTTCGTGTTTTTTTCTTAAAAACTCTATTTATCGACTGAATGAAAAAAGCTAAATAGTTTCACAAAAGCCCACATTTCGTCTATGTACCGCTAGATGTCACCACCAATACAAATAAAAAAACAACTTCAAAATAAGTATTCGTTTAAATTCGTCTGCTTTATCATAGCAAAAAGCGGTTTAATACATAAAAATCGGTGTTTTTTTAAATTGAAAAATTTGAACTGTTCAAAGAAAATGCGGAAACGGTTGCTTTTTCGGTTCAACTGATCAGAATGTGACAGATGGTAATAGTTACGCGAAGAAAGTGGCAAGCACGCGGACAACATGAACTGTCAATGTTGCATTGATTGTTGTTGTTGTCGTTGAATCAGATGGTGTTTCACCGAATTTGACAACGAAATAAACATAAAAAAAAACAATAAGTGGCGCACATTGTTGTGTATAAATTGTTAGTATAGATAGTTGTCATGCATACCATGCACTGGTCGACGCTGAATTGTTTATGCTTCTTCTAAATTGTGGCGCCGATTTTGTCTCCGGCCAAAAACTGTATAACAAAAAAAAAAACGAACCGCTTCGTGAAAGTTTTGAAGTAAGCCTCAGTGAAAGAAAAGAAAAGACACTTCGGTGATAGAAACGAAAACATTTAAAGTATGTAAGTTTTTGGAATACAATTTGTGTGTTTGCTCAATTGAGTGTGTCTTTGGTGTAATGCAGTTTTGATTTGTCCACCGTTTCGGTTTTTTGTACGTTTTCCTCATTTCTCGTGTACGTATTATTTTATGCATTGAATTGGCGCGAGTGTAGAAACCGATAGAAATCGACTGCATTTTTGTGTGTATGTCATTTTTACAGTCAGTTATTTTTGTTGTTACATGGAATGTTGTCAACGCACATACATAACCTCATCATCGTATTGAATTCATGTACATATAACCGTTGACTTTTTTTCTTCTCTTTTTATGAACCGTGCGTATGATGTATTCCATGCACATATGTACAATTGTACACAACAGTTGTGCTCATATTTCTATCTCCCATGATCACCCATTCTTATTAGCCAGTGTGAGTGTGTTTTTTTGGGTGTATGAGACGATTTACGCGAGACGTGTGTACGTTTCGCTTCATTCATGATGTTATTTTGTATCGTGAACCGCGAACGAGGTTAAAAGTCCATCGTTCACTGCGGATAGTTCGAATAGCATTGATCAATTTTTGAGCAACAAAACAAAATAATCAATAAAAACACAGGGAAAAAATGTATAAACAAACGAATACTCGAAAACGGCACCGTAACTATCGAATGACAAAAAGCAACCGATCGTTAAATAAAAGAAAGCAAAAGCACCAACTAAAAACGAATAAATTTGAGAAAAAAATAATAATAAATAGCATATTGATGAATGAAAAAGAAGACTCCAACTGATCCAATTGGAACTTTGACGAAAATATTACATCCAAAACGATGAGGCAATACTTACTGCTGAACCAATGTAAATTCAGTTGTTTTTATTGAATAATTGAAATGTTTCTCTAGCATTGTGTTGATATGCGCGCATGAAATGCATCGCACCAAAAACGTAAATGTATTCTCATGTCTGAGTACGTGTGATTGCTATGAAATTGCGATTCCATTCAAAACTCCGCTGTAATCAACGTTAATGTTCGTCTTAATATAAAAAAGAGTATCCGTCGTTTTGTTGCACCATATTACACACAAGCACATCTTTCGTTTCCTGTATTGCACAAAATAGCGTTATGCAATCCACTTGATTTTAAGTGCATCGTTTGATCCATGTCTCATTTGTGTGCGTTTTTGGACACAAATGCTATTTTTATCGCATTACGTTTTCACATTTTAGTATAATATGTCTAATTTGTTGCGCGCCCAAATTAAATTAGAACGAATCGGACGGTGTGATTGATTCAGATGCTGGACGGGTGTATGAGAGAGAATCATGTGATAAAAATGATTGCTGTTAACATAATCAAAATAAAGAGGAAACTTCTTACTTTTTTATTCAACACTTGGATTCTCACTCAATTGCAATAGACATTCGCTCAACATCACATTCCGAAATCGGTTGATGTTCAGCGTATTTCAACTTGTTGAACAATTTCTTTTCTCCGTGGTTTTTTCATCACTACCATTTTTTTTATTGGTTAAATGTTCTAATTACTTAAAATTAATTGGTTAAAAGAGGTCTGAAAATTCGATTTTAGAAATTATGACCGTTATCGGTCGGTTCGTTTCGGACTTCTTTCGTAGTAGCTTTAGCTCTTAATACAACTAAATACGGTTTATCGCAGAATAGTTTAACACCTCCATGTTTGTCTTTATTTTCAGAGTGATTTCGTCGATTCTGGTGTGATAAAAAGTCTCCAGACTATTGAAAATGGTGAACGAGATGTGAAACGGTCAAATTCAAATGAGATTTCAATTGCATCGGTGCAAAATCATCGTCAATCAAGTGAAAACAATGCATTGAGCCCAACACATAGTACGATACCAATTTCAAACGAAGATTCACAAGCGTACAACTGTAATATCAACTATACAAACGAATCAATTTGCAATAATAATACGATCAACGGCAGTCGCAACACACAAAACCCATACAACAATGGTCATGCGATTATTGACGTTGTAAGCACAACACACACAACCAACGATCACAATACAAAAGTAATAATAAAATCAACGTTGCCCGCAACGGAACAGCTGCCGTATAATAGCACCACAACAGCAACGAATGCCATACCACATAATAAACATACGGAAAATACGAACAACGATGATGTGGTGGACGTGGTGAGCACAAGTGGCGGCGGCTATAGCCCAGAAGAAACGAATCGAAAGCAACAAAAACTATCGAATAAAATAGTCGTGCTGCTACGTCGATCGAAACCGATCGCATTTGTCGTGATCAATAGTGTGTTAGCCGTTTTAATTGTAACATCGTTGTGCATTAGCATGGGCATGGATTATACCGTTCCGGCTATTGTTGTCGGTTTGATTGCAATTGTAGCCAGTTCTGGTTTTTGGTATTGGCTCTATATTGCTGCTATTACAGCTCCAAGAGATATTCGGTATGTATAAACCAAACACTGGAAAAAAAATTTCAACTTGAAAAACAAAAAAAAACGATTTCAAAATGTTGGTTTGAAAATTCAAATACGAAAATTCAGTTGTGTGTATAATGTGTTCGATCTAGTGGTGTTTCATTTCGGTTAAAACGAAAAGAAGAATAAAATAAAAACTAAGAACGACTGACGTCTATATTTTGAGTGTGTGAACCGGTCTCTATAGTAAATTATTCTGTTTTTTTTTTTACTGCAAGTCATTTTCAAAACCACGACAATTTGTGATCATTCGCGACGGCCCAACAAGATAATCAAAGTGAAAGAAATAAGAAAGAGAGTGCGCGCCGTGAAATACCACGATGGAAATGCGGATACCCAATTGCAACATGAATTTTAAATGATGATGATGTTAAAAAGAATCGTTGTTATTTTAACTCTTTGAATGAAGAAAATTTTGTGCGTGGTCAGAACATTTATGTTATGCGCGCATGAGAGTCAAAAAGAGAGAGAAAGGCCAGAGAACACGACAATCAGAAACGATAAAATTACAACGAATGTTGAAAAAAAAAAGAGACTCGAACTAGTTACGAATGAGTGCGTCGTGAGTGAGAGAGAGCGCGAGCGCGCGCGTATGTGTGTATGTGTTAAATGCGAATGTATGTTTCAGCATTCCAACCAAATTCCAAAATTGCAATCAGGTCATCTTTAACCTGTTGAATGTGTGTAATATTTACCGTTGGTTTTTCCATCAAAATTTTTTTTTTACGTCTTAAGTGGTGATACACACAACCGCAGCAACTACACGAACAACAACAAAAAAAAAAGCGTGGCAACATTTGTTCACCTTTATTTTGTGTGTATTTTATTTTGCAATCATCAGCAAAGGGAATTAAAGTCCAATACAAATTTATAAACGGTCAACAAGTTCAATCGCAAATTACAAATTAGGAAAAAAAGGGGGGCATCATTGTGTCTGTGAATGTGTGTTTGTGATCTTGAATGGTTTTCCTTCTGTCGACCGATACAGAAAAGCAAAACAAAAATTCAATTCAGTGTAAAAGTGATGAAATTACGGAAATGTCAATATTCTGAATTATATCTATTAAAGACCCCCGCCCCTCTCCAAAGCATAATCGCGCACACAATCCATCGGTCGTGTTGTGATTTCGTAATCGGAATTAATGCCATATATGTAAATTCAGAACGAAATGTATTCAACGTTCATTGATTATTATTATTATTGCTGTGTGCTGTTGTTGTTTGAATAGAAAAGGTTTATTTTAAAGCCTGTTGACGACAAAGATAACAATAATAATAAATATGCTGATAAAAAAACAACAACAAACTGAAGCGATCATAAAACGCGTCTAACGTGTTTTTTTTATTTTTCTGCATATTTACCTTTACTTCTTCTTTTATTTCGGTTATGTGATCTTTCGATGTCAATTTTTTGTCTTTTTCCGGGGCACCTACGACCAAAAAAAAAAAAAAAAACACACACACACATACTCTTTGCTTACACTACTATTTAGCGACTTCTTTCGATTTTTTAACCAAGCAGACGGTTTGTTTTTTGTCTCTCTTTTCTTCACATTGCGTTTTCATGTTGGCTGTTTAAAACTCTCTATTTCGCTTTTATTGAGTATATGAAGAGAGTAAATTGCGCATTTATTTGATGTTTCAGCCTGTCTAAACTTCAATTGGCTTCTGTTGTTTGTCGGTTTTCATTTCTAAAAATCCAAAAACTCACTTTCTATTTTAGTAGCTACCAACGCTTGAATATAAATTGCATCTGTCAATATATATTTTGTGTGTGTGTGTGTGTGTGTGTACTTCTTTTATTTCGACATATATTCATGACAAGTAAATTGGCCGAGGCAATGTATTCATTTGCAATGACCGAATATGAATATGCACTTTTTTGCACCCAACACAATGCCCATTTACGGTGGCCATGATTTTATATGCGTGTACATACGATGTGTGGTGAAGAAAAATATTCCAAACCGCGTGCGATTGCATTTCACAGCTAAGTGTACGACTCTATTATCGTATCGTGCGTATTGTTGTGGTTTTGTTCTTTCCATGACTATAAATATACTGGGAATTACCCCATCACCATATATATCGATATTTATCTTCTTTTTTTTGGTTTTTCTGTTAATGTCCACAATGTTCCCGAATGTAACAATGCAATTCTTCTATTTTTTGTTTTTCACATTGATGCTTTCTTTGTTATTTCTTCACACTTTTCTTTGATGCTTTTTTATCTTTGTTCATTTCCACACCCTTTTCATTCGAAAATAAAAAAAATTCCACATTTGTTCATTCTTTATTTTCTTCAAACGAATAACGTCCTTTACGCTGTGTTAATCAGAGTGTTTCTTGTCCTTTACGAGTAATAAATTACTACTTATCTGACAATATCGAAAAAAATGCACATGCGATCTCTTGCAAAAAGTTTGTTTTCAGTTGAGTACGTTCTAGATAGACAGATCAAAACAAACACATCTACACGCACGCATGGTTGCGATTGTACACGTTTATGCAAACAAAACTATGTCGCCAAACTCTACAAACAAGATATAATTACTGGTAATGTTTGCTATTTGAATCGTAAACACAATCGGCATAAAAATAGCGTCGATTCATTTGAAAAAATTGAAGAGTATGAAAAAAAAAACACAAATAAAAGTGCCAACTCATTCAGTCATGGACAAAACGCTTGATTTTTGTTTCTGTATTTCTTTCGTGTGTTTTTTTGTACTTTGAAAGTATCATATGAAAATGTTTTATTAATTATAGCGGTGCAAAGTTCAATTGAGCCTGCAATTGTTTGATTTTGCATTGCAATTTTAAGAAAGAGATGGGGGGGAGATTGGACAAAAAACCTCTTTAATTGAGGCGCTCAATTCGACAGTATCTAGTTGTTGAAATTCTACAGCGTGGCGCTTTAAATTACAAAATTTACAAAACAATGCAAAGATGACAACAAACTCCGCACGATGTCATGTATAGTTTTTTTTTAAATATTATGGTGAATGTACAATTCGGCAATTTGCCTGTCTATGCATGCACTCACACAATGTTTGCCGCTCCGTTAAGGTGGTCCAACAGAAAAAGTTTCTCGAAAATTCATTAGGTCCAACCGGTTCCAAGTGAACTACGATGATCGTCAAAAAAGTCATACATATGTAAACATATATGAAATTGTATTGAGGTGGTTCCCATTACACCAAGATTCCAATTTTAATGACGGCTAATGGTAGAATCGTGAGTCCGTAAAGTGCGCACAATGAGTGACTGACGATATTGCAAAGTTCAACGTAGAAATCATTTCAAATTGCTCGAAGTGTGTCCCCCATAAACTTGGTGTCGTACGTTTCATCAGAATGAGGACCACTGAAATGAAAAGTGAAAAAAAAAGTGTGAAAAGAAACGAGACAAGACATGAATGGTTGATCAAAATCAATGAAATCAACTTCTTTTCCGCCAAGCGAAAGAAAAAACACAGAAAACTATAAAAACTTTGATAAACTTTAACGTTCGCGTTTAAGATGAATGTCAACGCGGCATGAGTTCGTACAAAGGTGGGATTAAGTTTGGTGTTTTCATTTGAAAAAAAAACACATGTTTTTTTCTCTTCAAATTCAACTTTGGTATCATTCAATGTTATCAAATCATATTTTATTCATTCATCGGAATCGTTCAAGGTTCGATCACTTCAGACATAAACATATTCAAAGACGTCATAATTTAATAAAAAACATGTTGTCTTCCATCTCTAATTTTGGAATATCTCTTCATTTCGTTTCCACTCTCATCAATTTGCGCTCTTCTCGCCATTTTATTTTTGTTTTCGATTAAAATATGCAATACCGTTTATTTTTAGCTTTATCTTCGTAGAATATGAAATACTCTAATATGTTTCGAAATGCAATGAAAATTATGTAAAATTCAAACGAAGCAAAATGTAAATGAGCGATTGACAAAATGACAAGTTGTGGTTGCGTCAAGCAAACGACAAATGAATGGTAGAGTGAATGAGAATATGTGAATGCACACGATAGAGAGGCAAATAAGAAAAGAACCCGTGAAAACAATTGATAAAATATGCGGCAATTGCCTGAAGAAATGTTGTCGCATGCATCACACCGCAATTGCGGCACCAACACAGAATAAAACTCATTTATATGCACATTTTCATTAGAATCGATTGTATATGCATTTGTTTCACTTTAATTCCTTCTTTCATTTTTTTTTTGCTCGTATGTATGTTGCTTTGTATCGAAATACGTCAGCAATCGGTTATTGCTCGTTGTTCGATTGAAATTAATTGCTTAGTCGTTCACTGCTTTGAAATTAAACATGTACACATTCGGCTATGCAGTTTTATTCTGCTTCTTTCTAATTTGCGTTGCAAACGCTTGCGCGGGTTATGATTACGGTAAATGTGTGGCTTTGTGTCAAATTGCGATTGATAAATTAGCGGTAGCATTCAAATCTTTTCAACTTTGGTCGAGGCCATATTCATTACATAGGCGAATGTAAGAGCGCGCGCGTATATGTGTGTAGCTTAATCAGCAACAAGAACAAAATCACACCATTGAAAAGAGATGATTAGGCGTGTGTATGAACATCCATAAAATTGGATTGGTCATGAAAATGATTTGTTTCGCGTTTTGTGACTGACAAGGTCGACATTATCGTCGTTCACATCAAAATTTTTATGAATATACAACTTTTTCCATGGTTGATTTGTGCATATCCATGAAAATAGAAGAATACAACAACAATAAAAAAATAGTTGACACACATTTACCGGTTTTTCGTGGTTCGCAACGAAATTCGAGAGAAGAGGTAATACCACGAACAATTGTGGAAAAGAGGGCGAAAGGTACAGAGAGCTTAAACCTCATTAAAATATGGAACAAAGTGAATGGAAATGAAATTGTGCTATACCGAAGTAAAAACAGTTTAATTCGATACTCTGTTATTAATTACCATCGAAATTATGCCATCAAAATGTGTACTATATATGTGCATTTATTGCGACTTTAATTGATTCGATCACACGATCACCCATTTTTTTTTGTTGTTTAATATAATACATTATTCATTCGTTCACCTAGATCCAACGATTCTTTGCTTATTAATATTATTATATTTCTTTTAATGGTTACAGTGCACTTTATCGATACGTAAAATTATTGTCGTTGGTACGACGATGTCAACGAAAAAATGTCGCCATTTGGGATTTATTCCATCATTATGTGGCCAAACATCCACAAAAACCATGCATCATCTATGACGGCCAAGAATGGACATTCCGTGATATGAACGAATTTTCAAATCGTATTGCCAATCTATTCCAGCAACATGGTTACAAAAAAGGTGATGTCGTTGGTTTGTTTATGGAAAATCGACCGGAATTTGTGGCCACATGGCTTGGATTATCGAAAATTGGCGTCATTGTTCCTTTGATCAACACAAATCAACGGCATGCATCATTAATTCACAGCATCGAAATTGCAAAATGTCAAGCGCTCATCTATGGCGAATCACTTGCATCAGGTTTGTTGTACTTATATTTTGGCCTCAACAAAATCAAACCGTTTCATTAATGAAATTTATTCTTCTTAGCCATTGCTGAAGTTGCCGATCATTTCAATAAGACAACATTTACCTGGTATCAATATAATGACGATGATCACGATGTTAGCGATAAATCGATCAAAAATTTGAATAGTTTATTGGAAAAATCATCGAAAACTGATGTGGTTTCAAATTCATCGGCCGACACACATCATAATCAATTGTTGTACATTTACACATCGGGCACAACTGGCCTACCGAAAGCTGCCGTTATCACACATTCCCGATACATTTTCATTGCCGCTGGCATTCATTATATGGCCAATTTCAAACCGGACGATATCTTTTACACACCACTACCATTGTATCATACTGCCGGCGGTGTGATGAGCGTTGGACAAGCATTGCTATTCGGTTCGACGGTTGTCATTCGCAAGAAATTCTCGGCATCCGGTTATTTCCCCGATTGTCAAAAGTACAAATGCACTGTAAGTGTTGTCACGATCAGATCATTTATTTTTCAAAAAACGTTAACCGAAAAAAAATGTGTTAAAATAATATAAAAACAACAACAAAGAACGGCGCTTTCGGCTGCGAAAAACAACATTAACATTTTCTACTGAAGTTATACATTTATTACATTAATTTTTAATAACTGTTAATGGGTCGTCCGCATCGTTCCTTCGATTTTTTTTTCTCGAAACGCGTGTCAATTGTCAATAAAACAACTAAAATTGTTTTCTATGTTTAATTAGGTCGCACAATACATTGGTGAAATGTGCCGCTACATTTTGGCTACACCATCGAATGCAGCTGACAGTAACCATAATTTACGAATTATTTTTGGTAATGGACTTCGACCACAAATTTGGCCACAATTCATAAATCGATTCAAAATTCCAAACGTCGCTGAATTCTATGGAGCAACCGAAGGAAATGCCAATATTGGTAAGCATGGCGCCTCGTTTTTTCCGTCAATCATCACAATAAAAATCATTCAATATCTTTTCACAGTGAATATAAACAATGTGGTTGGCGCTATTGGATTTGTATCGAGAATTTTACCATCTGTGTATCCGATTTCGGTGATTAAAGCTGACCCTGACACCGGTGATCCAATTCGTGATAGCAATGGCCTATGTCAGGTAAATAATGATAAATTTATTTGTTGTCGAATGTCGAATGTTTGTTTAATCTTTTTTTTATTCAAAATATAGTTGTGTAAACCGAATGAGCCGGGTGTGTTTGTTGGAAAAATAATGCCTGGAAATCCATCGCGTGCCTTCTTAGGATATGTTGATAAGGCTGCGTCATCGAAAAAGATTGTCAAAGACGTATTCAAAAAAGGCGATTCGGCCTTTTTATCGGGCGATTTACTCGTATCGGATGAATATGGTAATTTGTACTTCAAAGATCGTACGGGTGACACATTCCGATGGAAAGGTGAAAATGTATCGACCAGTGAAGTTGAAGCGCAAGTTAGCAATGTGGCTGGATATCGTGACACCGTTGTTTATGGCGTTGAAATTCCGAATACCGAAGGTCGTGCTGGTATGGCAGCCATTCTTGATGTCGATCAAACCATCGATTTGGATGCATTGGGCAATGGTCTTAAATCGGTTTTGCCTGCATACGCACGACCACAATTCATTCGTTTGCTTAGCAAAGTCGATATGACCGGCACATTCAAATTGAAAAAAATAGATTTACAAAAAGAAGGATACGATCCAAGCAAAATTGGTGATAGTCTTTATTTTTTGGCTAATGGTAAATATAGTTTAGTCACATTTTTATTGATTTCTTTTTCGATTATTCACTAATTATTTTTTTTATTATTCGTTCTTTTCTTATTCTCCCCCCCCCAGGTAAATATAGTAAATTGGATAAGGCTGTTTATGAACAAATTTTAAATGGCAATGTGAGATTTTAGATATTAAACACTGACAATTATTATTATATGATTACAAGCGAAAACAAAATAAAAGAGAAAAACGAAACAAAAAAACACACACACACACGCACAGACATTGTTGCATTCGATCTGATACGAGATCGGCATCGAACTAGATAGTACATTTAATTTACTATTTTAACCGTTTCAAAGCTACAGCAAACGTTGGTTAGAGAGTTCAACAGGATTTTAAGATGATTTTTTTTTCATAGAAAAATTTAAACAATGAAAATCCAAGCAATATATTAGCTAATTGAAATACACATAATCAACGAAAACTAAAAGTTTAAAATACATTACATTTCACAATTGAAATGATATTGAATGCTAGTTGGCTAAATTTAGATTTATTATTATTATATATTGTACGGAACTGTGTTGAAATTTTGTTTTAATTGTTTTTTCTTCTTTTGTACAGAATAAAAACAAGCTTTTTTAACTACAAACAAATAAGTCGCGTTTAATTTCTTTACTTTTGTTCAGCATCAAAAGTGTCCAACGAACAGCTCAATCTTGATTTGGATAATTTTGAAAAAAAAAAAAAATTTCGTTGAGTTCTAATTTTTGTGATTACTTAAGCAAGGTGAAAATATAGTAAAACTTTCAAATATTTTGAAATCCAAGGTGAGAATCTGACGATTTTTTGGTGTTAAAATGTTATCCAAAATTTCGAATTACCTTTTTTACTTCTCAATTTCTACCTGAAATCATACGTATGATTAAGTAAGTACTTACTTTGAATCATGATATATTGTGAAGCATCAGGCACATATCTGATTGCTAATGTTTCGATATTTTGCTAATAAGATCGACTGTGAAAATTTGAATGTCCCATAAATATGTATTCTCTATAGAAAAAGTCCAGTAGCCAAATTTCTTTCTCTGCTCAAGGCCCCAAGGAATGCATCCCTATCGATTTATAGACACAACGATTCAAATCGATTTCAATTTTAACAAATTCTATATTTTAAACGAATTTAAAATCTCTTCTGTCAATTTTCAATTTCTTTTGAATCTCTGTGAATTTGTTCAATTCACGATGATGAATTTGGCAACAAAAACTACGTCAAACCTTTGGGAATGTTAAAAAAATATGCGAAATAAATGAGCGGTTGATTTTTTGTGATGACCAGGAAAATGTATTTATTGAAAAATAGAACATTTCGTGTTTGTTTTTTTTTTTTTTTGTAATTTGTTTTTCTTCAACTTCTTCTACTTCTGCTGCAAATAATTTTGATTCCTCATTCTGAAAGTAAGTAATGAGTAAATTTCACATCCATTTCTCCTCACTTCTTCCATTCTTCATTATTTTTTGTGTTTGTAATTCATTCAACATTCTATTTAATACTTAAATTGTCTTGCCTCATAAATATATTTGCCCATTTTTGTTCATTTGTGAGTGAGTGTGTGTATGTTTTTGTTGTTGTTTCTCAGTAAATGTGTGACGAGTTTTCAAATGAGTGCTGTTTGTCGCCTCAAAAAGTGCTTGCCATTTGCAATGGAAATTTGATTCGCTGATTGGGTATCACCTCGAAATCGATGAATATGTACAAATTAACCAAATCAATTAATATGTCTATTACATTTAGAGCACAATAATTCATCGGTGTCAATTGTACAAATGATATGGAAATGTAATTTTGTTGCATTGTATTCAATTTAAATGTATACAATGGAATCCATTGAATCGATTTGCGATCGGCATTTGTCAATTTCCGTTGTAAACAATGTCAAGCAAGGCATCTTTTGGCAAAAATCTTTTTGCAATCCATTGTGAAACTCTGTCGTCTTCGCTACCAAACAAGTGGAAAAATTAACAAAAAAAATTGATAAAAGAACGCAACAGAGTGAACGAAAGAATGAGTCGCACTTTGCTCTTATATCTTATTCTTCTTCTCTGCTTTTGAAGATTTTTCTTTCATTTTTTTTTAAATATATATTTAACTCTTTTTATTTTGCTTCTTAAGGTTTTTGGACGTGAATGCGCACGTAAAATGATCTCTTTAATTCTTGTTTTTTTATTTATTTATTTATTTAATTTTTAGTTTTAAATATATTTTCACATTTTGTCATATTGAAAACAAACGCAGAAACACTACTACACAACAAGAGACAATTTTTAAAAAGGAAAAAATATACTTATTTGAACAGCAACAGAGATAAACAATTTATGTCATCGCGTGAAATAAAAAAAGTAGTCAAACAAAGTGTGCCGCAATTTCAATCAATCGATTGGATTTGCTTTAAGTTTATGCTCTGCTCTGGCTGGTCTCACTTTCATTTAATAAACACACTCTTTCATTCTCTCTCTTTCTGTCTCTTCATCGCCATTTTCCGGCATCTCATTTTGTTCACACTTCTTGAATAGTTTTTTCTTCGGTTTTGTTGTTGTAGTTGTTATCAGCGCATAAATTAAATATAACATTTTTTTTTCGAAATTACTAATATTATGAGTTTTACATTTACAATAATAATTAATATTAGTTGTTTTTTTTTACACAATGTGTGTCTGTCTGTGTGCCCCGTTTGCACTGGCAAAGTACGGAAAATTAAATTGACGCATTTTCTTCAAATTTTTTAAAAGATTCAACCATGTTTAACCATGTTTGTTAAATAAGACATTTTAAATCTCATTTTTTTTTTTATTTAATTCATTTTGTCAATTTCATTTCATTTAATTTTGTTTAAATGAATACGATGCGATTTTTTCGTAATTTTTTTTGCTCCTTTAAATATATATAATATTAAATGATTAGTTTTGCCGATTTTTTTTCTTAAATTTCTTTCACTTTAAATTAGTATTTTCGGTTTAGAAATATTATCTCGTTAAGAGCAATATTTCATTAACAGGATCGAAGAAATGGGCTTAATAAAAACCGACTCGAATTTTATTCTCGAATTACGTTGAAACGATATTTATATATACTTTTGTTTTGTCAATATGAACAAAAAAAAAAATGAAACCGAAAAATAATCGAACCGAAATGACTGAATGCGTCCAATGCGATTTGCGAATATGTTGGAATCGAAATGGTTTTGTATATATGATGAATGTGCAAAAAAGTATCACATTTTGAAAGAAAATTAAAAAAATAATGGTCGGAGCCATTGAAATATAACATTTTTACGAATGAATAAGAGAGTATATCTTAACCGATCGTATTTGCACTCGATTTTTTTGGGTTGTCAAGAAGACGCTTTCGATTTAACAGAGAACTTAATTTATCGAAAATGGATCCACCATTGACCAGAAATAAAATCATAAAATTAAGAAAAAAAAAACACATACCTTTTTTGTGTATCAATAAATTTATAGTTCGCCTTACGAAAGTGAGAGTAAGTATCGTTTTTTAACAAAAAAAAAAGAAAATCATCTATTGGATTTTTTTTCTATAAATAGAGAATTCATCCGTGAAAATCACATCAATTTTATACATTTAATTTTAATTCGTCATTTCCAGTGTGAGTTTAGAATTTTGGTTTTCTATTTCGGTTATGAATAAAAGAATTGTAGAGAATTCATAACAGCAGCAGTGGCTGATTCGAGAAACGAGACAATTGTCTGGTGTAAGTGATTGTGATTTACGTGAGGTGTGAGTCAAAAAACATTGGGCATTTCTTTTAGGTTGTTGTTGTTTTTTTTGGGTAGCTTAATTTGTCGAAGAAGAAAGAAAATCTCACGCATTTCCTTAATGTGTGTTGCATTAGTCATCGAGGCTAAGAAAATCGCAGAGACTCGCTTAATTAGCTGATTAGCTTTATTATGTATTTTGTTTTTGTTTTCAATTTAAATTTGTTCGTAGTTTGATTTTGTTATTGGTTGTTGTTGTTATTGTTGTTTTCATTGAGTTGAGTTCTTAATTTAAATTTTGAATCAATAAGATGAGATTTACATTGAATTGAATTAATAGAAAAACGAATTCTTTATTTAAAACCTTTTTTTTTGTTGTTGTTGTTTAAATCGAATGAATATATAGATCGATTTTTTTTGTCGAATTTTTTGTTTTGTTATTTTATCGATACGTCATTACATATCGTTTACATATTTTGAATTATTTTTTTCTCCTATTTACGCTTATTTAACCATAAAAAAAGAATTAATGAGACAAAGCAAAAAAAAAAAATCCAAAGGAAAAAAAATTAAAAATCTGATGTTTGTTTCTTTTTAGGAAATTCATATCACTGCGAAAAAAAAGAAGTACAATAATTTAAAAAAAAACGAAGAAAAAAAATTATAATTTAAAAAAATGTTACGTACGAACGAAAGAAAAAAAGGTTCATTTCTTATGAATGCTTCTTCATTGTGATTTTTATTCAAATAAATTCATTAATGTGTAGTTTTGTTGTTGTTGTTGTTTTCTTTAAAAGTAGCCATTCCATTAACGGTGGCAAAAAAAATAATTGGAATCATTGTAATTACATGTAATTATTTCATTTTCTTCTTGTGTGTTTACGTTGATTTTTTTGTTTTGTATTATTATTTCATTCAAATCATCAATACCTATATTCACAATATTGTTGTCACTTAGTGTGTATGTGTGTCTCTCTCTGTACCCGTATAACTCATTTGCGGAGTAATTTTGTCGATGGCGGGACTGTGCGGAGTTCGGCGGAGATAGTATGCAAATGCTGTGTATACGAGTGCAACAGCATTCTTTGCTATTCATAGATTTATTTTGTCCAAACGAAAATCACATAGAAGTGCTGTTACCCTCGCACACACAGAGTTTGTATGTCATCTCCGCCAAACTCCGCACAGTCCCGCCATCGTCCAAATTACTCCGCAAATGATTTATATGGGTATGTTGTCAATGTGAGTTTATATTGTATTACATATTTATTTATTATTTTTATCTTTCTTTCTTCTTTTTTCCACTTTCATTTCTTTATTTTTTTTTTCTCTTCTAAAAATATAATTAATTAAACAAAAAGACCAGCATAAAGCAAAAACAGTTATCACAAAAATGAAAACACATAAGATCTAAAAGTAACCACAGAACTCTCTAGGTTTGTTTTTTTTATGTAATTCTTAATTTTTTTCAGTTTTTTTTTCTTATATTTTCAATAATTTTTTCTTTCATTTTTTTTAAATTATACTTTTTTCAATTTTATTATTTCTCGAAACCTGAACTATGTTTTCAGGGCTGATGTTTGTTTTTATTATTATTTATTTAATTTTTATTTGATGTTCACGTTTGCGTAGTGTGTTTGTGTATGTGTGTGGATGAATTTGCATCTCTCGTTTTTTTTATTGAAAACATGTGTGCACGAGTTGTTATTCTCTCTTCAATATGCCGCGCCACAAACACATCGGGTGTTGTCGGGTGGAGCAGTTTGGATAACACGCACGGGATTGTTATGAGCGATGATGACGGCAACAATTGTGGCCGGCATTCGGAACGTTTTGAAAACGAAAATAATAATAATAATAATTTGGATTAGTGCAGCTCACAATCATGCTTTTACCGCTATCAATGTTACATGTTCGATCGCGAGCATTTTGTTTGAGGTGTATAATTTCGATAGAGTGTGTGTTTGTGTATTTGTTACTTTTTTTCACTTAGTTGGAATATATTCGGTAAATAGTTTACTATGTTAGAACGATCATTGCAGTTTTACCATCTAAATGTCAACAACATGTTTTATTTAATTAATGCATTTTTGTATGTTTCTTGATTTAAATCAAACGAATTTTTTACTCTCTCTCAATTATTGAAAATTGTAAGTTGGTTTGCATGAAAATATCTAATCGGATCTGGCACTATTTTTTTAAGTTAACTTTCTTCACAAGTTTTTTTTTTGGTGTTGAAAGATTTTTTTTAAATGTTTTTTATCCTCTTTGCAAGAAGCTTTTTCTACTCTTAAAGATTTACGTTGTTAAATTTGTTGTTGTTGTTGTGTGTGTGTGAGTTTTAGATTTTCGTTAAACATTTTTTTTTGTATTTGGGTTTTTCTGAGGAGTTTTTTTGTTTTGTTCAAGCTATAGTTTCAAACACATCTCTTTTGTCAATATATTTTTCTTCATATATCTATATAGTATCATATAATATATTTTAAATTTCAATCAAAAATTATAAAGCAAACATTTCTCTCTATTTTATTATTTGTGGGTATGAGGGCATTTGATGGGTTATTAGATGCTTTTTTTCTTAAATTTTCTTGTTTAATTGGTAAAGGTAGCTGGTACCCTTTTTTTAATTGGTATTGATGTATGCTTACAGAGGAGATACAGAAAAAAGCGATCTTGGTATGGCTTTAATTATAGAACTGTTTTTTTTTTTGGTTGAAGGTGGAGTAAGGAAGGGAAGGGTTATTTTTTGTTTGTTTGCTGTAACAACAGTACACTCTTTCATTGACTTTTCTGCCCTTTCTTTTCTTTTATTATTTGCATCACACATACTCACATACGCAAAACATTCAAACAATTTCCATCACATATGTTATTTTTTTTTTCTAAACTTAACATTTCCAACAAATTCATTCGACAATTCTCGCTATCTGGCATTCTCTCTTGCGCTCGCTCACTGTTCATGCTCTCTATCCCTTGCCTTGTCTATACATAAATATATATTTATTTATTTAGTTTAAATGTGTGTGTTTATGGAACACTGCTCCAATTCTGATGGAATCTAAGTTTATTCACAGGCCTCAAAATTGCAATCTCAACAAATCGGTTTTGTTCTTTGAACGGAAACTCTGTATAATCACACTCTTACACATTCAACTAACGAAAATAAATCTTTGCATATTTGTGTGTGTCTGTGTGTGAATTTCATTTGTTAAAATATTTCTTCTTTTTCGTCTATATTTTTGTTTGTAACTAGATAATATATATTTCTGATCGAACGAAAGCGAAAAAAAAAATAATGATTCAATTGGCCCATCTCTTTTGTTTGCGATTGGAATGGAGTTCAACATGCGTATTTTCAAATAAATGGAGATTTGTTAATGTTATTTTAGATTTTTCGTTTTTTCTATCTTTTGTTATGTAAATATATGCATTTTTGTTTGTTCATCTCATTTATTATTTAATCAACAGTGAATATAGTTTTTATTTCTTTTAAATGTATCTTTTTCAGTTTTTTCATGTACCTATATAGTTTTTTTTTGTTATGTTTTAAATCACACGACACAAAAGTTCAATCGGCACGTTTTCAATTCGTAATTCACGTGCACAAAAATGTTGCTATGCAAATTAATTAGCAGCATTTGTGAGCGTGAATGCGAATTGAATAGAAAAAAAAACAAAACGTGCACGATGCATTTGACAAGAGAAAAAAATGAAATTCTAATAAAATAAAAAAGAAACTAAACAAACAACTTGTGTCTTCCTTTTCTTCTCGCCTTTTTCACAATTTTTTTTTACTAACGATTCATGTATCACTTGCTTGCTTCTTTAATTGTGAGTGTATTGCAACTCATCTTGCTTCTATGCTAAACCATCTTTCATATACACATTTATATACTATGTATGCATCACTTTGCACATCCTCCTCTCTTTCTCTATTCACTCCGGCGCTCGCGCTCGTGTATGTTTTTCCAATAAATATATCCTAAATTGACATGTGCTAAATCATCGTTTCTCTCCTAGTTTTATTTCAATTAAATTAATTAATAGTTTATTTAAATGTGTGCAACACACGAAAAAATTGGGGTACTAATTGAGGAGGATGAATGACATTTCTTTTCAGCTTTTCAACTCTTCGTTTCTTGAGTGTGTGTGGATTTTTGTTTGAAGTTCTATTTCGACTTTGAAAGTTCGTTTCTTTTTTTTGTTTTGAAGAGTATGTGAATTGTAAAACCCAGTCGGTTCTCAATTCAATTAAGGGTAAGCCATTGCCTATTCATTTCCATTTATTAATTCGCTTTTCTTTGTTCATCGTCCAGCTGTTTGATAAAACTTTGTTTTTTTTTTGTATGTGTGTGTGTGTGTTTTTTTTTTCATTTTAATTTCGTTGAAAGGAAAAAATGTTGTTGCATTATCTTTTTGTCAGAGTGAAATGCTTTCAAAATGAGAGTGAGAGTCGTTTCGAATACGAAATTGAATGAATTATTTTGTTTGTTATAGTGCTAAAATGCATTGCCAGCTTTTGTTGCTGCTTTTCATCTTCATCTCTTAAACTGTGTGTTAATTGTTGTTGTTTTTTGATGATGTTCATTTTTTTTAAATCATTTTCTTTTCTATCTTGCTACATAAATTCTATCTTCTTTGAATACATAGATTTTTTTTTTATATAATAATATATATATTTTTTTCTCTTCATTACTAATTAATTAAAACAATTTATTACATGAATCGGTTACCTCCTCTCTTTCTCTCACTTCTACTCCTCTCAGTTGAACCGACTAAATCTAATCCCATTTTATTTTGTTATTTTTCATCATCATTTTCTTCTTTAACTTCATTATTTTTGCTTACACTCTACCTCATCTATTCGGTTGCGCTCGGTTGTTGAGTGGCTTGAAATTTTGTTATTAATTTATGTTTCTACTGCTGCTGTGGCTGTTGTTGTTGTAAGTTTTACTGTGGATTAGATTTGTATTCTGCTGCTGGTTTTTTTTTGTCTGCGACGAATCGGTTAATTTGTTGCTGTTGATGTCTGTGTATACACAACTATAGCTGCATTTTTTAGATAGTTCTTTCTTATTAATTTTTGTTGTTGTTGGTGTCAGGCAATGTAGTTGTTTTAATTCTTTTAATTACTGTTCGATGAGGTTGTTTGTAGTGTATTATCGGCAGTGATAGCAGCGATATCTGACGACTTTTTCATTTTGTCGCAATAGTCGGATAGAATGTCTCGAAATCGGCTCCAACAATTTTCCGGCACCGTTATTGCAGTACGAAAATTGCTTTTTACCTAGATTTAAAATTGAAGAAATGCATTGGAAATTATTCAATAATGATATTCAGTTGGAATTTCAAATGAATAAAAAGAATCAAATTAAGTTTTGCTGGTTTGAAGAGATTTTTTTTTTTTAATTGATGCCAAAACATTAATTGAACTAAATATGTCGCTGATTGGAGGTCATGAAGGCTCCAAAAACAATAATGTTAGAAAATCAAGGAAAAATCAAATTCGCCTGGGACCTTTTGACTGCGACCTAATTAGACATAGCCTTCCACCAGTCTGGCAAAATGCCATCATTACGGATTTGTTTGACAAAATTCAGAAATTATATTGAGACCAAATGGATCTCATCTGATTGAGCTAAAAATGAACTTATTATTACAATTATTAAATTAACTAGTCGTTTTTTCGAATGGTACTCGAACGGAGCTGTTATAGGCACGTCGGAGGTTTTTTTTATTCAGGTGCGACACTTGAAATCCTATATAGAATAAGTACGGTCGCTGATTGATGCTTCTTCAGTGCCAATAACAGCTCTGCGAAAAAATAAGGTCTAAAATGTTCAATTTAATTCTTGTCCATATCAACCAGGTGAGATATTTCGGCTGCCTAAAAATGTCTCGACACAGTATACAGTTTTACATAAATATTGTACACTTACCTCACTGATTCGCATGTATATGCCTCTATTATTTTGTCCGATATCAAAGTAAAAGTTTTTGTTTTGTACCTTCATGTGTCGGCCTTCAGGAAGTTCACCTTTAAATCTACGAAATTGCGATAAATTATTATCAATAATTTGAGTTAAACACTGAATCATTCTCGAATTTTCTTTTAACTTTCGTTTAAACTTTTTCAACGTGTCGGTAGACACATTTGATGAAAAAACTTATAAAACATTTAGTAAAGTTCAAAACAGTGCAACTTACCCTCCGTCATTGGTTCCGAATTCTTCTAATAAATCGGTTAATGCATCACGAAACTCAATCATACCTTGAGCTGGAATAGCGATTTGTGATCGTGGCCCGCCACGCGTTATGGTTTGAGATACCTAAATAAATACATTTCGATTTAAGTGAAAATCACAACCAAACGTAAGATTGAATATTTTTTTTGCTCACTCGTAAGAACCGTCCCCGTGTATTTTCTTTCAGATCTAAATAATAACGGCGATTATCCTTAATCATCATCTCTGATTTCAATTTACCATCTTCCGGAACATTTTCTGGATTTGGAGGCCCTAAAATAACAATAATCTCATCAAAATACCATGTCGGCTGTCAAACGAGTCATTTGAAATGTCAAAAAAGCAGTTTCTTCAAGTAATTGGAAACTTTAGACGTTCAATTAAAGAGTTCTTGGCATTGCATTGGCACATCGTTATACACTTGAGACACTTACCCAAAGACGAGTAATAGTCACTGAATGTCGATAAATGATCACGAAATTCGGCAGCAGTTGATAATGCTAAAAATATTTGACTGCGTCGTCCATCGGCTCCGATCTGAAATTCAATCAAATATATACAATTAACGTTTGCACTCATTCTGCCAAGCAATTGCAATTCCATTGGATAAGATGATTGATTTAATTGTAAAGCTTTGAATTGTGATTGTTTTACCTCTGCTACTTTGATAAATCGCCCACGACGGTTTTGCTTCACGTCAAGATAAAATCGTTTTGATTGGATTTGAAGCATTTTGGTCGCCAGCTCCTGTTCGGACTGCTGCCCATGTTGACCTGCATCAATAAAAACGAAATTCCATTACATAATTGTCACATTTGAGCTATTGAGAGTATTTAAGTTAATTGAGCTATCAAAAGTATAGTCACTGTGTGTCAATTCTGATCGATGAAAAAAGAATTATTTTATTAACAGATATTTAAAGAAAATCGCATAATTACCGTCATTACCAGATAAATCGAAATCAGTAGCACCACCCCCATCCATGCCTTTGGTTTATTATCAAAATAGAAACAAATACAAATTGTAGAACGAACTAGTTTTTTTATTTATTTATTTTGGTGTGCTTGTGTGTGTGTTTTTTTTCTTTTTGAAGAAGAATTCTTTATTTTACGTTTTCGAAAAACTTGAAAAAATGCCGAAATATTCTATCAAAAAGGTACAAAGTAAATGAAAACCAAAAAGTAAATGCGAATGAGAGAAAACCTATATCGGGTGCACAATGCGCATTTGAAAGAAGAAGAAACAAACAAAAAAATCATGTTCATATTCCTTTTTCTTCGCTCCATATTTTTTTCTTCTTCTTTGTTTTGTTTAAGCACAAGTTACTTTATGTATGAAACTTTCACTCAAGCGGAAAACTTTGTTTTTCCATATTTCGCAGGTAGAGAGAGTGGGAAAGATAATGTAAGAGATTGTTATATAACCAAAAAATATGCTTAGTGTATGTCAAGGCACAAGGAAAAATCATCAAAGCTACATCACTTCATGGGTTTATGTGTGTGTGTGTATTTATCTGTGCGATTGTGCTGATGAGCAAAACATATGATTGCTTTATGACAAGCCCATACACACCAAGCATAAATTCACACACGTACGAAAACAATTTACCTACTGAAAACGTGAATGCAACGAAGATTGCCAATCCCAAAATAAAATTCCATAAACCCTTTGACGACAAAAAAAGCCGTGCAAAGATCGTACATGTTCGCTCTTTCACACGCATCATTCGAATAAATCGAATCATACATACCAAAAACCGTTTTCGAAACCTTTTCCAAGAGAAATCAGCATTTTACGCTTCATTTCATGTTTTTTTTTTTGCATTTATGGAATGTGAACAGTCGAAATGATTCACATTTTGAGAGCGAATAATAATCATTTTTTATTTAATTTGATAAACTTTTATGCAATTCGCATGCACATTCCACAAATTCAAAAAATAGGAAAACCTATTTCACAATACAAAAGAGTCGAGCTTTTTTCGAGAACTTCCGTCTACGAATGATATCATTTTTTAATGGTTTGAATTTGTATTTCAACGTTTAATTTGAATAAATGCAAATTTTCGGATTTGAAAAACAAAAATCAACGAAATGTTTGCAACAATTCGCTTCTCTATGAATTTCACAAAAATGCGTAAATTTGAATCGAAAATGTTGAAATATTGGTATGCACTGACATCACGCTTCATTTTTCATTGTTATCAAGTGGTGGTTTATTCCTTTTTTGAGTGTCATAAAGCTCTTAGTTTTGACGCATTCCATTTTTTTCTTTCATATTTTACTCCTGCTCTTTTCTTTTCTGATTTTGCGACAAGAAAAAAACGGTCATAGCTCGGAGTTTTTTTTGACATATAAATGACCATATGAAAATAATAGCTATGTTCTTATCGAATTTTTTGACAGCCATAAAGCACAAACAACATATATATTGAATCGATGTGGAGCGCAAGAAAACGAGAAAGTGAAATGCAACGAACTCAATTGCGCATATGAAAATATGAATAAATTCATCAAAGCAATGCAATTAAGTTTTTTTTCTTGCTCTTGATATATTGGTCGAAAATGTGGAGACAAGAGAAAGAGAGTGTGTGTGTGTGCATCGATACGATTAATTTCATTTGCGTGACCGCATGAAAAGTTGAACTGCTTCTACGCCAAAAAAACCGATAAAAAAGTACTCTTTCAACACAGAAAATAAATTAATTCATTAAAAATGTACACCGTTGAGCGAGTTACTCGATGCAAATATTACGTGTAAAATGATATTTTTTCGAGAGCTTTTTTCTGTTGTTTCAATTAAGATATACAATTTTTATCTAAACAAATGTTTCGGAAAGATATAAGTCAAGGACGAAGGATAATTTGAACGTTTAAATTACCTCGGTGCCATACGTAAACAAATCTAGTCCATTTTAATATAGCTGCTCTCGGTTTTAATGGAACTATTCAATGGAATTTGATGTGCATTTCAAATGATAAAATGTGCCATTCCAATAATTTATGTATCGAATTATTAAACAGACATTTTATAAATTCATTTCAATTTGCATAAAAATAAAGTCAATAAACATTTTTGCCATTCAAAAAGAAAAACAAGTGAATGAATAAACTTAATTCACAGTTGCAAATTTATTTTCATTATTTGTGCCGAGCTTTTTTCAGTTGTGTTTATTTAATCAATGCACGATGAATTGTATTGAATAACGAAATGGATTTGCCACACTGACGCGAAATACAAATCAAATTTGTCAATATTTCATATTATTAATTGTAAATAAGCAAGTGTCCAGTAAATAATGCCCGATAGGCCCGACAGACAATGTATTTTATTTTTCAAAACCTTCTCTCCCGCTTTACTCCTCTCTGTACTCCTAAATCTCACTCTCACTTCCTCTCTGCCTACCGCTCTATCTCCCTTTTCTTTCTATCTACTAAGAAAATACTAATTTTACATCGATTTTTTATTGTTCCCTCTTCTAGGTCAAATTGTTATCCTTTTGGCCGTACTTTATCCGACTTTCGCGAAAATTCTTACATTGTTGTTCCTTTCTTTTGAGTAAATTAAAAGTAGCGACTGTTTTGGGGGAAGGGATGAGAGAAGAGAGGTTTTTTTTAGCTTAAATAAATGATTAACTATACGCAAAAAAGGTGAAATATTGTTTTACTCGTTGTAAAGTCAATTAAAGTGAAAATGTAAAGAGTTAAGCTGTTGGCATGTACAGAAAATTCGAACTGCAGATGGAGATAAATTTTTGGCAGTGAGAAAATGCATCGTGCTAGTCGATTCTATAAACTATTAACAACAACAAAACAAAAATGTGGAATAAGAACGACCTTCATTTCACTCATGTGTTCTTTTCTTCTTCTCTTCATTTAGCGCGCGTGTATTCGTTTTCGCTCCCTTCATGCAAGCGTATGTATATACCGAAATTATGGTTGATCGTATGTGCTTATGCACTATAATACATAGAATGTGGCATGGCATTGCAGCAGCAGAAGCAGTAGCACATAATATGGGTCATTTAGTTATATTCGGTTATTGGTATACGTATTCTTCTCTCTTTCAAATTTGCTGGTGCTGTTTGTTATTATCCTTCGTAACGTTTCGAATGCACATGATATATGGGGAGAGAGCAAGAAACATCAATGTATATAGACGTACTAATTTTATAGCCAAATATACACATACAGACAGAGAGAGAATATAATATAAATGTACACATTTGAAGCGCAAACGAAGTGCATGCACATATTTTCCAGATTGCACATGAAATATGTGTGTATGTATGTGAAAGAGAGAGAGCACATAATGTGCGTGTCAAAATCCAAGCCATGTAACCATGGATCCATTGGCGGTCGTATCTGCTCGATCTATCTCTCGTGTGCGCTCTTTTTCTGTGATTTGGATCGTTTTGTGCAGTATATGGTGCACATACACATTGCATTTTATATAAGAGTACGAAGGTCCAACGATGAACACATTTATCTCACTCTCTCTCTCTCTCTCTCTCGCTTGCGCGAAGTGCTTCCTTCTTTTTCCTTTTCGGAAATAGAGCTTTCGCTAAATACAGATCCATATGTACGGTGCAATTTACATTAAATAGTTAGAGAGAATATGTCCTGTATATTGCACGAAAATTGTGCAACAACACGAATTTCGAAGGCGATCCTAGCATGCTTTTGTTTTCATTTGGTGGTGGTGCTGTTGCTGTGTTTCTTGGATGTTTTCGTTTCTCATCTTTTTTGACGTTTCAATTAGATATTATATATATATCTGTGTGTGTATTTATATTTATATTCTGTATTTGACCTATTTGGATGATGGCGCTTTCGCCATTTATCCAGATATTTCAACGATTTGACATAATTCGGTTCTTGGTCACAATTCCCTCACTCTTTCTCTCTCCTTTTTTCATAAACTCTCCCTGTTCCACTCATACTCTCATGAATTCTCTATATCCTGTTATGGTTGTTATGCACTTATAGATTTTCGGTGTTCCCTTTCTAGCACGCGCTTGCACGATATGGATATAATCGAATTTTTGAAACCAGGTTAAATGGTTTACATAAAAATATATGATAAATTCTCTCTCTCTCTCTATTTCATCCATTGCATTTGTGGCACACATTTTTATTTCTCCTCGTTTCGCTGTGTTGTGATCGATGTGGAAAGTCAGTTCTTCGATTGAAAATACGACAAATTCATTATATAAGAAAACATGATTTTTCTGTTTTTATTTCGATTGAGCTGCTGATCAATACCATTTGATTTTTATTAAATGAATTTGGAAATTTGTTCATTTAATCCATTCATTTTATACCAATTCTCATGTGGTACTCTTTTTTTTTAACGCAATTTGGCCCGAAAGTTTGGAGTGATGTTGGTTGATTGGATGAGATTTTGAGTTGCATTTTGGATTCCTGGAAATAACCTTGACATCTGACCTTATTTTATCATTTGGACTGGTTTCAATGCAATTTCACAATTTTTCGTACACAAAGTAATCCATACATAAGCACATATATACATGCATATCAAGTGTAAATGTATTTGTCGTTGATTTTTCCTTTTCTTTTTCTAGGTCGTTGAATTTTGAACAAATATCAAAATTGAATTTCAGGTACGCTGAAGAAAAATGAAAGAGGGAAAGAGACAAAGAAGAAGAGTAGAAAGCGATGATGGCGACACAAACAGAATAGAACAGTGAATCGACAAATGAAATGGTAACAAATCCACATGAAATGCACACATAACACGTTTTCGCTGCATGCAGCTAAACCATAAATTTGCGGACAACCGAAGGATACTCGAATCGAATTTCAGCAAACGCATTACTGAAATAATACACAATCAGTTGATTCTCTCTCTTTCTCTCTACTTCAATGTGAATACATTAGGGCTGTATCGATGTCATACGCCGATTTTTTTTCTCATAATATTAAAGTGCATATCATAAATGCGTCAATTTCATTCACACACACAC